GTATCCAAAACTGTATGTAAAAGTTGCTTAAGGAGTAACTGTCGGGACAAAACATCTGATTTATAATTTAAAGTGAATGTAATGTGATAAACTAAATCAGATGTGAAGGAGCTACAAGAAACACAAAGGTCCAAATCATTTCATATTTACATAAAACTTTTGTCACTTAGACTTACAGTGGGAAGAGGAAGCACCACTTTTACTCAAGTAAGAGTACTGTTGCATCAATTAAATATTACTCAAGTAGGAGTAAAAGTATGCTGCAAGAAAAAGTACTCTGAAAAGTACAATTTCTTTAAAAAGTGACTCAAGTAAATGTGAGCTTTGTCAGCTGTCAGCTTTAGGTCTAAAACAGATGTAGTAAAATAGACTTTTAGATTTTTTTATTGACTTATTATACATATATACAGTAATATACACTACACACACACAGCAGACATTCAGATTCATTGAAAACAAAAAACAAAAACAAAAAACAGAAAGAATGTAAACATAACTTAACATATGACAGTAAATCAAACCTAATAAGAGAAACTAACTGAAATGAAAGAGGGATCAGCGACTGAATTGAGGGATGAGGAGAAAATGTATCTAACTATGAATTAAGTCTGTAGATGTTGGTTATTGAAGTGGCCTTTTTGCAGGATAAATGTTGGATCGTGTAGTAAAACAGACATGTGCTCCAATCTGATGATGTCATAATCTCAGATGGAGGCACAAAAGACTCTTATGGGAGATTCACTGTTTTTTAAAGAAATCTCCACAACAGAACATAAAACTGTATTTTAAAGAGTCTGTATGTGATATATGATCACTTGATGACGGTGTTATAAAGTGAATTGAATAATTACTGCGTGCGTCTCGTCTTCAACAGATAGAGTCGTTGCTCTTAAGGATGGGCATGATTAATCGATTAATCGGTAATTGATCATTAAGAATTTCATCGATTATGTTAATTTTAATCGACAAACCGAATGTAGGTTGCAACGTACCGAAGCACAAATGTGGATTTAACGATGACTTGTACAAGAAATTCCACACTTTCCGTTGCGTTGGGACAAGTGTGAGTCCATGTGCACAGTGTACAAAGCAGCACATATGTTTCTGTGTCCAGTGGGAAAAAGTTTTACCAGGTGAGAGTCGCTCAATGTGGATGATGAGTCCCCACCTCCCTCCCCCCGTACGGTGTCCTGGTTTTGACAAACACAAATCTGGTCACACTAACCTGTATTCACCTGAGTCATGTCTTTTAATCCAACAGAAATTGAACCACATCAGCGACACAAGAGCTGTAGTTTTATCTTCACTTAGTTTATGTAAATTAGTGATGTGGTTTTAAGTTTTGTTTCTGTGAGAGTTGCGCAAAACTGAATTAAACACATTATAATGTTAAACATCTGATGTGGCTCTAGAATCGTTATGTTTATATGTCGTAAAGTTGAATTTATTTATGCAGATTAGTAGTGCAGATAGTAATAATAATGATGATCATTTTAATATAAAAATGTTAATGATTAATCGATAATCAGCACGGTGGCTGAGTGGCTAGCACTCATGCCTCACAGCAAGAAGGTTCTGGGTTCAATCCCCAGGTCGCCCGGGGCCTTTCTGTGTGGAGTTTGCATGTTTCTCCCCGTGTCTGGATGGGTTTCCTCCGGGTGCTCTGGTTTCCCCCATCAACCCAGAACATGCTCCAGGTTTCCAGAACAGTTGATAGTCAAGGTCAGTTTAATACAATCAATCAATGAACCTGTCCAGGGACGACAGGTGGAAATTAGCACTGATGCTACAACCTGATGTACAATGCATCTCTCCTGTCAAGGTTAATGCGAAAATTGTGCGCTGTCCCTGTCTCAAATAAATAAAAAAATAATAATAATCGATCGTTAATTCTTCCGACGATCGATTAAGAAAATTTCATCGAATACCCGTCCCTATTTGCTCTCTTACAGGGCCAGTGTGGTGTAGCTCATATTGATCACTGTGGTGACATGAGGGATGCCCTGCGGTTTGTGTTTCATGTCTTTTATTTATATTTGTAATATGTTTAATTATTTGTCTGTGTTAATTAATGGTTATTTTCTTTCTGTTTCTTATTGAACCACACACACATATCCACAAACACACAAACATGGTTAAGTTTTGTGTGGACACCCTGCAGCGGGTCATAGTCTTACAGCGCCCCCTGGTGTTTAACAATCACTCTCAATGTTGTGTTATAATTGTACTTGGAAGAAGAATTTAAGGAAGAAGAATTCATTCTTTAAATTCTCTTAAAACCAGTGAGAAGTCAAGAGTTAAATTAGATCATTTGTGTCCTACAGAAATGAGATTATTCTACTAAAGAAGTTATAACTTATTTGTTTATTGGAATGTCCTCATCAACCATAACATAATGTGCAGAGAGTCGTGTGAGAGGGAGTGTGTTTAAGCCCTGTGTCCTTCATATTGTTTTTCTTTTTTTTTTGTTTTCCAGATACATTGCTGCAAAGAAGCCATGTTTCTGATTCAAGCGGCGTCACTTTCCTCAAACTGGAAATGACCAAGTTAAGCTTTTTAGATTTAGGTTTGATAAAATGTTCTATTGTTGCCATTGTTGTTTGTTGCTTATATCTGTGTGTATCTTCTCTCTATCATGTTGTCTTCTTCTAAATTCACTTTTTAAACATTCATTTAAACAGTCATTTTTACCGGCACCTCAAAGAACATGTGTAGTTTTGCTGTAACTACTGTTGGAAACTTCTTACCTGTGCAGCCAGAACCACACGCTGAGACAAAACTTCACAAAGATGAGTGGGCCTGGACCATAGACTTAGACTTACACTTACACAAACTTTATTGATCCACAGTGTTGGGAGTGACGTGTTATAAAAGTAACAAATTACTGTAATGCGTTGCAGTAATTTAAGACATTACGGGAATAAAATGTTAATATTTTACTCGGTACAAATGTGAGTAACGCGCGTTCCAATGCTTTTTTAACCTGGATTGAAGTGGTGGGTTTTTCTTCATACAAATTCACTAAAATCACCGCGATATCAGCAGAGGAGAAACACCGGAGACGCGCCCACGTAGACCATCAGGTGACCGCGAGCGAAAGGACCGACGCAGAACTCCACGCTCCACGGGGCTAAACGCAGCTGACGCCCGATCACACCTTCAGACACCGTGTTCCATGTGCTCAGGGTTCTCTCAGGGGCGGAACTAGATTCCAAGTTCTAGTCTAAGATTAGTCCTGGTTTAGACCATGGTTTAGACCATGGTTTAGACCATGGTTTAGTCCTGGTTCAGTTCTGGTTTAGTCCTGGTTTAGTTCTGGTTCAGCTCTGGTTTAGACCTGGTTTAGTCCATTATACGGTGCAGAAGTTCAGCATCTTTGCAGTTATTTTGGTGAGAGTAACTTAAAAGTAATGTAATAGTAATGTAATGTTTTACATTTTAAATGCAGTTATATTGTAATGTAACAGATTTGAAATGACAGAAACAAGTCATAAATAACACATTACACTTTAAAAGTCACTTGCCCAACAGTGTGGATCCACAAGGGAAATGATTTGGACACAGTAACTCACACATCACAAAAAAAACAAAACAAAGACCAAACATATAAATAGTAATAATCAGTTCTAAATAAGAATCAAAAAAGAGCAAGAGACACGTAAGACAGAATTATATAAATGTAAATGTATAAGTCAAAACAAAGTAGAAAAATAAGTAATAAAATATAATATAAGTTTATAAAGAAGTGGACTAAGGGAGTGTGACATCACCCATAGCATTTGGCTCCAGTCAAATGAAGCTCATGAGGCCAGCACTTACAGGGGGAAATTTGGAACCAGTTCAACATTAAGAACGGGAATTGATTTACAGACAAAATCGCAAAACTAAAACACCAAGATCATGTGGAGTGGGTTAATATAAACATTTTAGCTGCAGGTTATCGATGTCCATTTATACAGTCTATGGTCTAGAACCGACTCCATCTCCAGAATTCACAGACAGACGGATTTACTAATCAGAGACACACATGAAACAAACTTTTATTTATACAGTAAGTTATACATTTGTGCTGTGGTTGCATCATCCTCAGGTACGACAGTTTTTTCTCGCTCTGTGCTTCGATTACAGACACTTCTGGAGTCAAACAGAATCTAAAAGGGACTGACTGCTCAGGCAAAAGCAAACCACAAGATATTTACTGTTCAAATGATGAAAAGAATGTGAAGTATTAATTTATTTGATGCATTTCCTGTTCCTAAATAAAATGATGATGACTTTCAGGTAGCTAAAGTAACCTCATGACCTGTGTCTGTGTTGTCACCAGATATGATGTAAGCCAGGGGTGTCCAAACTTTTTTCGTCAAGGGCCACATTTCTAAACACAGATGAAGCAGAGGGCCGATCGAGGACTGTAGACTGGTGCTCAGTACAGGAAATAATTGAAATATGTGCATGTTTATCATGTTAGAATGAGCCATCAGTCTTTATTCATGCTAAAATCCTTAAACTACACACAAAATATGAAATATTTGCTTTATCAAGGTAGATTTTCAAAAAACTTGCAGCAAAAAAATTCCTTTTTAATTGATGCAAGGTCATTTGGGCCAATTTACCTGGAAGCCTGAGGGCCAAGAAAAATGTGTCCGAGGGCCGCATTTGGCCCCCGGGCCATAGTTTGGACATGCCTGATGTAAGCTCTATGTAAGATTTTGCCTTTACATTTCATAAACATGATCTAACTGTTCCCAGATGTGAGGGAAATAAGTTTAAATCAAATAAAGCTTTTACTGATAACAAATGTAATGCTAATTTATTCTTAATCACGAAAATATTGGACATGAAGGCCGAGGGTAAAAGGCTTGGCCCTCTGGGAAACTCAAATAGCAAATAAATAAATAAATAAATAAAACACTAAATAAATTCATTTCGACAAACAGTGTGTTTTGGTAGATAGTACTGAGGCGGGAGAGCCAACGCTTTTATAAATACTGGTTATTGATAACCAATGTTGAGGAGTAACAGATTACATGTACTGGAGTTACGTAATCAGAGTACAAATTATGAGTAACTGTATTCAGTTACAGTTACTGTTCCAATGAGTGGTAATTGGATTACAGTTACTTTATCGAAACAAATGGATTACACGGCGATATGTTCCTGTTTTCACATTTTGGGCTAAACCAGGACTAAACCAGGTCTAAAAGCAGGACCAAAACCAGGACTAAACAATATGACACGAACAGTAGTGTGGACATAATTTCAGGCAGCAGTGACCTCATATAAAAATAATTTCTCTATCAATAATATTTTTAATGTGGTTAATAAAGATTGGCCTTTTTATTTTCTTTTAGCAGACAAAACATTTCATGTTTGGATTTCCTCGTCTTTGCTTCTGTACAACAAACAAAAGTCTGTTCATGGAGACTTGGGCTCAACAGACAATTTGAAGAGAACAAACAAGAATTTTCAGGATGTGGTTGGTACATTCATTTAGTTTTAAAAAGCAAGACAATATCAAGTAATCCAAAGTATTCAGATTACGTTACTCACTTTAAGTAATTTAATGGATTACGTTACAAACTACATTTTGGGATATGTAATCTGTAATCTGTAGGGGAATACATTTTAAAAGTCACCTTCCCAACAATGTTCATAAGGGTGTTTTGCAGGATAAATGGTTTATAGACTGAAAGTCAAGATTTATCTCAGAAAGAATCACTAGAGTGGTTTACTCAGCTCCCTCTTTATATGTCGGTTGATATGATTTTAAATTCCAAAGTCATAACAGTAGACATGGACAAAATTGTTGGTTCCCTCTGGAAATGAAAGAAAAATCAACAATCATCACTGAAATAACTTGAAACTGAGAAAAGCAATAATATATAAAAAATTACTGAAAATTGTCCAACAAAAATCAAACATCATTTTTCACCTGTGGTTCAACAGAATCATTTGAAAAAACAAAATAATGAAACTGACCTGGACAAAAATGATGATACTCTGAACTTAACTTTATATTTTGTTGCACAAACTCTGTAAACAAATGATTTCTGTCTCTGTCAATGAAACTGGTATTTTGACTTGTTTCTTGTGAGCAAACTGTTGTAGTGTCTCAGTTTTGAAGGATGTCTTCTCCAGATGCATGTTTCAGCTCATTTCACAGATGTTCAGTAGGATTGAGATCTGGACTCACAGAAGAACACTCCAGAACAGTCCAGTGTTTTGTTCTTAGTCATTCTTGTGTGTTTTTTATCTGTGTGTTTTGGGTCATTGTCCTGTTGGAAGACCCATGACCTACGACTGAGACTGAGCTTTCTGACAGAATCTGTGTATTTTACACAGATTCAAGACACCCTGTGCCAGATGCAGCAAAACAGCCCCAGAACAAAACCAAACCTCCTCCGTGCTTCACAGTAGGGACAGTGTTCTTTTCTCGATGTGCTTCATTTGTGTGTCTGTGAACATAGAGCTGATGTGCTTTGCCAAAGAGCTTCAGTTTTGCCTCATAAGAACATTCTCCCAGAAGCTCTCCAGATGTTGTTCACATTTTTCAATAAATATTTAGTTTGGCCCACGACTTAGTCCCAGTTTTTAATTTCGGCCTCTATGAATTTGAGTTCGACAGCTCTGATTTAGAAGGAGATCAACAGGACAATAACACATTTAATCTAGAGAAACAAACATTTCCTTTGTCTGTCTTGTCATGTGAAGAAATTGACAAATAAATGCGTTCATTCTTTTCTTCCACTCCACATATTCTCTCTCCCTCACTCACTTTCTCTTCCTCTCACTGCCGGTGTCCTGTCGGTTTGTGCTACCAGTGCAACAGCTCATGCACTCAACCCCCAAGCGCTGTTTAAATACCGTCGATTTGAGCTCCAGAGGCAGAAGTGGAGGAACACGTCACATTTTAAAAGTGCGTTGGTTTTATTGTGTGTTTGTGTTAGATTTGTTGTTGATGATTTAGTTCTAAATTAGATTTTGTTTCCATGTGTAGAAAACGTTGTAACTTTGTTTAGAAAGCTGCTGTATAAATAAAATATCACTGTATTATAATAGGAAGTTCACACTGTAGTCTATGATATTGGTGTTAAATATTATTATTACTATTTAATATAAAGATCTGAGTCATTTCTTTATCTTCTATAGTGAGTTACCTCAACCCAAATTCATCTAAATGATTGAATAATGTGTGTGTGTGTGTGTGTGTGTGTGTGTGTGTCACCTGAAGGTCAAGGTAACCAAGGTCAAATATGTGTTTTTGGTCATAACTCCGTGAAGGATGGAGCTCGAGCAACAAGTGTCTCATAATCTCAGAAAAATTATTATCTATTTATAAGTCTATACATTTGTACAGTCAAATATGAATAGTTTTTGAGATAATCACTCATTATAACAGTTCCTTTCTCTTTCAGTTTATGCCGTTGAAATAACTGGAACAAAAACACTTTCCATTTCTTGTTTTTCTGGTGAAACACAACACCCTGATCTACAATCACACACTAGTGGTTCCACACTGGTTCCACACTAGTAAACACAGACATTCTCATGTGTGACCAGTGTTGGGGAGTAACAGATTACATGTCCCGGTAATCAGAGTACAAATTATGAGTAACTGTATTCAGTTACAGTTACTGTTTCAGTGAGAGGTAATTGGATTACAGTTACTTTGTTGAAATAAATGGAATACAGGGCGATATTTTCCTGTTTTCACATTTTGGGCTAAACCAGGACTAAAAACAGGACTAAAACAGGACTAAAACAGTACTATAAGCAAGTCTAAACTAGATCTAAACCAGGTCTAAACCAGGTCTAAACCAGGTCTAAAACCATGACTAAATCAGGACTAAACCAGGATTTAACAGGACTAAACCAGGATTTAACAGGACTAAACCATGCTGGGTGGACATGTTTCCTTCTCTTCTATCAATAATATTTTTAATACGGTTAAGAAGAGTCTGGGCTTTTTATTTTCTTTTATCAGACAAAACCTCTTATGTGAAGATTTCCTCATCTTTGCTTCTCTACAGCAAATCAAGTAATCCAAAGTATTCAGATTACATTACTCACTTTAAGTAATTTAATGGATTACATTGCAAACTACATTTTGAGGTATGTAATCTGTAATCTGTAGGGGATTACATTTTAAAAGTCACCTTCCCAACACTGTGTGTGACCAACATCACACAAATGTTCATGGGCCTGTACACATACACACATTAGTACATTGTGGATATAATAATCATGTGATATGGGCTGTGCTCCTTATAATCTGCTTCTGTGCTGATGAACTGACCCCCGACGCCTCATGAGGACCAGGTTGATATCTCTGATTGTTCTTGTTTGATGGATAAATTGGCCTGTCGATATGTGCTCCCTTGAGCAGAATACGAGTGTCCAAATGAACTACGCAGCTTCATATAAATGAGTTGAAATTGTACATAACCAAGATATAAAGTGTGATCAGTGTGTGCAAACAGCATCAAACCCACGTCTCTAATCCAGAGAAATATGTTGTAAACCTGGGGAGGTCAGAGGTCAGAGGTCAGGGTTTGGCTTTACTGGATCTATGCAAATGTAAATGGAAAAACATAAGGTCGCTTGGTCAACGTAGCGTGAATCACTAGACATCACTTTCCATTTAGGCTGCTGGTAGCTCATTTAGACAGCGCGTTTCCACAGAACCGTCCCTCCCTCTTTTCACTCCCTCTGTCTCATCACTGGCCAATCAGCGCTTGGTTCTGTACCGCGGGGTAAAGTGAATCTTAAACACACGAAAGAACGACAGAAGTGCACAAACGCGTGCGCCATGGCTCTTAAAAGCGCAAACACGGAAATCTTTCATTCTCTCATGGAACTGGAGGACGGAAATTTCGACACATTTTGTTTTCAGTTGCGTGACAGTTCGGTGGAGCCGCGCATCAGAGCCGGGGAAGTGGAAAAGAAGAACCGCCTGGAAATCACGAAGCTGCTCGTGTCCAGGTGCACGGAGGCTGGAGCTCTGCGCAGAACCATCAACACTCTGCGGGACATCGGCTGCAACAACGAGGCTCTGGAGCTGGGTGAGGATGGGTGAGGATGGGTGAGGATGGGTGCAGCGTTTAAAGGTCACGGACGCTTTTTAAAAATGATATATATATTTATGTTTTGTTTTCCCCCACTGTTCTTGACACACACATCTCTGTTTGAATAAGGATGGATTGGAAACTTGTCTTATTATTTAGGCAGCTAATAGAACCAGAGCTGAAAGAAAACAAGAGAGATTCTAAATTCTGACGGTAAAAACCAGACCCACTTTGATGCAGGTAGTTTACAGCTAATAAAGAAACTGGACTTTAAAGTAGCTCTGAGATAAAACCAACATTTGACCTATATTTGAAGACTCTCTTCTTATGAAATAAAACTCACTGGATGTTGTTTTGTCAGTGCTGGGCAAGTTCTCTAAAAAAAGTAATTAGGTACAATTATCTTACCCTACTTCTCCCCCAAATTAACTGCAGTAGAAACTGTGTTACAGGGTGAGGAAAGTATTACTTACCAAGTATTTACTAATTTAATGAAATTACAATAAATAAATAAATAACTGAATACACCCCAACTGCTTTTCCAAGTAAAAAGGAGCTAAATTCAGCCTTATTTGTCCTGCAACTCACCAAATGCCCCCAGAGGCAGAGTTCTAAACTGTTTTCATCCACAGAGAAGCACCAACATATTCACAACTGAACCGTCACAACAGCACGGGGCAAACAACTGTCCAACAGTATTTACCAAACACACTGACATCAGCAGTGGTGTAGTGGGGCTTTTTAAGCGGGGCACGAGATTCATACCCCTGCTCTCTCTCTTCAGTACAAACATAAAGGCACCAGGTCATTTTTACTCAAAATGATGCAGAATCATGTTATTAATATAAACACCATTCAGAAACACCGACAGAACATAAATCATGGACTACAACACATGAACCAGGACTAAACCAGGACTAAACCAGAACTAAACTTGGACTTGAGAGAGAGAGAACCCCGAGCTCGTGGAGCAGAGTGTCCACAAGAGCAATTGGGTGACCGCTGCGCTTAGCCCCGTGAGCACGGAGCTCTGCGCCCGTCCTTTCACCTGCACTCACCTGACAGTCTAGGTGGGCTCACCACAACCCGTCCCAACACTCACTCCTGGTTCACTCCTGGTTCAGTCCTGGTTCAGTCCTGGTTTAGTCCTGGTTCACTCCTGGTTCAGTCCTGGTTCAGTCCTGGTTCAGTCCTGGTTCAGTCCTGGTTTAGTCCTGGTTCAGTCCTGGTTCAGTCCTGGTTCAGTCCTGGTTCAGTCCTGGTTTAGTCCTGGTTCACTCCTGGTTCAGGTCACTATAGGACAGTAGTGCAGATATCATGAGCCTGTGCAGGTTGTTTTCACCATTGCCAGTAGCTCGGTTTGACATTTAAGTCGTAGCTATTTTATTTATTATATATGGAGAAGTGAGTGGCCGGTGAACCCCCGCGTACCACACCCACTACACCCCTGGATATCAGAAGATTACAAACATGTGCACGCCACATGACAGCGCTTATACACATGTAAAACCAGAGATGAACCAACCAAATCAAATGAGATGAGCTGCACTTACCATAAGTAACGAGAGCAGAGGGCTGTGTCCACTGTCACAGCGCTGACGTCTTTTTAGAAATCTGTAAACTCCAGACGAACATGTTCCTCCCGCTGTAATCGCCCGTTTGTGCTTCCATCACAAAAGAGTCGTCAAATAACGATGTATATCCATAAAAAAACACACAAATCTGTATATTTCCTCACATGTGTTGAAAACACAATACTCAAGCGTGTGTCAGCGCTAAACCAATGAAATGTCAGGAAAGTCTTTATGGCTGCCTCACGCTGCTTCTGATTGGTCAACTTTAGAGTCAGTCCTCTTTTTTTAACCAATCACTGACTCTAATTCCTTTCCTCAGTCTTGTTTACTTCCCAAACTTTCCAGTTCCTCTGAATGAGACGAGAGAGAGCAGTCTGATCTGCACCGCTGCTGAGACTCACAGTAAAATAACAAAACCTCATTACAGTAACTGTGTAACAGAGTTACACAGGAGAGAGTAATTCCATCGATTACTCTTTAGTGGTAAACCAACACTGGGCTTTGTTAGGTTTGCTGCTGCTCCTGAAAAGAAGAACTAAAAGAGAGAGGTGCAGATCCATGAATGAGGGCTGAAATTCTGAGGTAGGGCAGATTAGATATCAAAAAGTACACAGCTTTAACCAGGTATTAATTATATTAAGTGGCTCTAGTAATAGTTTAGTTAGTTAGTTAGTTAGTTTAGTCTAGACTTATTTTTTAGACTTATTTTTTATGTGGGACGACTTTTCTGTGCGTAGGGTTCGGCAGTTTAAACATCTCCAGGCTTGGTTATACGAGCCTGGAGATGTTTGTAAGTATGAACAATTAATATACACAATCTATATTTAGGAGCTGGGTCGTCTCCACATGTATACCTCAGTAAGTATGCATTGTATTATATAATAATACCATTCAATGCATTCAGTGCTCCTTCACTCATCATGTTTAAAAGTGGACCAGAATATTGATTCTGTGAACAGACTGTTTGAGGGGTAGCTGTGTCTTAAGTGAAAATAAAGTTAAAAAGTAGAGTTAAGAGAGATCTTTGGCCTACCTCAGCACACAGACATCCTCACGACACTCCAAAGAGCAAGAGTAAATCCAACTGGACTCTTTCAATAATCTCATGTCTGTCCATTTTGTAAACATCTTTAAACTACGGCTGCAGCGACAGGCCCCTCCCACTCAGCGCTCTCTCTTAGACTAGTCCATTCTAACGTGAAAGGGGGGAGGCTTTGACAGTTAAAATTGATTTGACCATCAGATAGTGTTTTGATGATGTTTACTTTTTTAAAAGTAAACTTCTCTCATTTAATGTCACAGTGAGTGAATCAAATTGCTCTGAGGCCTCGGCCATTAGTGGCACTGAGGGGTAATTGGTTGGGGGCCCGTCCAGGTTCAGGGGCCCCGCAGGGACACCTGCTGTTGCCCAATGGTAGCGCCGCCTCTGGCTGTACCCAATCATTAGCTCAACAACGTAGTTTGGTCATTTTCTAGATGCAGGTAGAGCTGGAATGACCTGGATTTGACTTGGTTTATAGTTAGTAACCTAGTTGTTGACCGATCCCACTGTTAAATAATGTAACAACAACAACATTATTTATATTACTACTAGGCTACTACGAATAATAATAGCCTGAAATGATAACAGCCTTTTGGACAGTCAAAGATGCGTTACAGCAGAGGTCTATGGGTCATTTGGTATCAGGCCGCACAGAAAAAATAAATAACTTATATTATTTACGTTTTATTTATTATCCAAGTCTGAACGTTATTTTATTTTGAAAAATGACTGAATCCGTTACACCAATATTAAACTCAAAAGCTGCAAAAATGAGTAAACGACAGATGTCTTTGGAATCGTTTATTATTATATTTACAAAATACCACAGTTTTTGTGTTGGTCGTATCATTTTATTTTGTCATATTTTTCTTCCACACCTTAAAGGCCGGTTTGTAAAAATGTTCTCTGACATTAAACTGGTCCACAAAGGTTGGGCACTACTTCTTTACAGTGTATTATTCATTCACTCCACACTTGGTTGTGAAATGCTGGTGTAGCTCTGGGAGAAGCTTTGAGTGTGCACCATCTTCCCCTCTGACCAACACCGACACACACCACATTCATAATAGGACGTGTGGGCGTGTCACGTGTCTTGGCTAAGGACACAAGTCAAAACCAGGGTGAATTGGACTTCTTAAAGCCGCTTGGAGACAGTGGCGCACAGAGAAGGGGGCGGAGGTGCAGAGACAAAAAGAATCCACACCCCAGAGGCAGTGTGTGTCCTCACTCTCTGACACATCTGAGGACACCTCCAGGAAAATGACCCAGATCCCAGGCAGACGAGTGCAACTGCTCAGCAGCTGAACTGTTATGTGTCATTGTCCTCATCACCAGGAGGGACCATCCTCTAACATACTGGAGGACCAATCAAAGCCACTTTCCTGACTTGGCACAGACAGACAGGTAGGTCATAAGTCAATAAGTTTAACAGCACTTTTCAAAACATAATTACAAAGTGGTTTACAGTTGTAAAAACAAAAGGTATAATTTAATTAATGCAATATAAAACAATATAAGAATACCACAATGAAAGTGCATAAGAGACATGATGATGTACAGTCACATTTGAAACAATAAGGGATTGGTTTATTCTCTATATTTCTTTTTTATTGCTTGATAACTATTAACTGAACCTACAATGTTGATTCCATTCCAAGGTACTTGGCTGCTCCTGCACAAGCACAGAGAGCGAGAGGCTGTTTAGTGCTGCTTCCAATGTCCTTGATGAGAGCAGGAACAGACTGACATGTGACAAAGCAGAGAAGTTACTGTTCATGAAGAAGAACCTGCCACTGTTCCTGAAGGAGTTGGCAACGTAGACTCTGTGCCAAAAGGACAATAATTCATTTGTTATTTGCACGTTAATATACAGGCACAGTTGTTAATGTTTTGTCTATATAAAACAAGATGTCTCAGATGTCACAGTTTTCTTCTTTTTTATTTTGAAGCTGAAGTAGTGTTATTATCTGTCCTGGTCTTTGGTGTGTGTGTACCTGTGTTATACAGGCTGTAAGTGTGTGAGGTTACACACTTACTGACATTTACTTGAGCCTTCTGTTTACATGATCAGCCTGTCTACTGTGGCTCAGCAGACTTGTGCCAAAAGAACAATAATTGGTTTGTTGTGGGTTTATTATTTTTAATACACTTCAGTTTTTTTGGAATTGTGGTTTTGTTTGAAACAACAATTGTTGTCAAAACTTGAATGAATGAAAATAAATGAAAAACTGGTATACTTTCTGGAAAGGCTACTGGAATATTTAAAGAGTATTAAAATAAACATTTACTTTCTTTTAAAAACATGTCTAAAAATGTATTCCAGGCTGTTTATGCAATATTTTTAAAATAGTGAAAAAACAACTGCAATTGATATTTGGTTTTGGTTGTGTTTAATTTTTATTTGGTTTTGGACACAGATTTTCATTTCGTTGTATCCCTAGCACCAGTCCATTTAGCTTTTGAAATCTGATGAGATCAGGTTTTTAAACCTCCTTTTACATAAACTACTACTACTACTACTACTACTACTACTACTAGCCTACTACTATGGCATGCTGCTATTACAAATAAGGTCCTCTAAATAGAATAATCCCACAGAGTGTATGTGTAAACCCTATATTATATAATATGGACCTAAACCTTCACAAATACTGTTAAATATGGAGTGTGACATAAAAAAAAACAAAAACAAGTCTAATTCTTCATGTTTGTAGCTGAATGTTCATTGAAAATGAAGTTAGTTCATGTGTCCGTCCTCTGTTTCAGAATCCAGAAACGCGTCTCGTTTGGATGTGAGTTCCCAGGTGCAGATGAATGGAACGCTCAATGTAAGAAACACAAAGTACACGTCCAAACTTGGTCCTGTCTCTGGTCTCTGCTCTGGTCTGGTGCTGGGGTGACAGCGTCAGGAGCAGTGGATCCATCTCCAGATCTGTTCAAATGTGGACAAGAGCCACAGGGCAGCAGAAAATCATCCAGTTTTAGGAAGGGCACTTTTACTTTTCCTCGTAAGACGTCATGTTTGTTTTGATGCGTGGACCATGTGTTCCTCTGATTGGATAATCCATCTGTCAATCAGAGCCGTCTGAACTGGGGAGGTTCGTCTCAGATCTCTGTGAAGTAGAGTCACAGAGCCTCGTCCTGACGGGCCAGACTCACTCACTCAGTTCACAAATGTTCAATCTGATCATTTCTATTGGAGACTCCAGTACATTCATTATTTTTCTAATTCTGATTTGGATTTTTGGGATAGTACATGTACTCATATATTTATCAGTTTTACATCTGTTTGTGTTTGTGAAAATGTAGAAAACAACAAAAAGTTGTAAAATACAGAAGTAGTCATGGGTTCTATAACAGAATCCCTCTGCTTATGTCATCAACTTCACCAACTCCATCTAAAATAGAATCAATTGATGCACAAGGAAAACATATTTCACTACACACACTTTAAACATTGATTTAACAAAATAAAGCTGTTGCTGTTGTGTAATTTTGATGGTTGCTAGGTAACATACCTCCTCCTATGTCACATCTTCCAACCAGGAAATAAAATTATAAGTCTGACCAGATTTTCTAAACTTGTAAAAACTTGCAAAATTTTTCATAAGATTTAAAAAATAATGTTTTAAAACTATGTTGGAGAGGATTTACTGCTCTGACCTGTCATATGCACTTTAACCATATAAGCTGCTGTATGTGAACAAAACTCTGTGTTATTCCATCTGTATTAGACATTGTTGATCAATAACATGTTGTGATGTCATGTGAGGTGACACTAAGTTTTTGTTTTTGTTTGCAGAAGGAAGCCCCCAGTGGCAGAGAGTCTGAGCCGCCTGCAAAGCCCCTCAAACAGGCCAATGGTGCGACCCAGGCAAAACCGAGCCAGACTGTGGTGAAACAGAGTCCCAAACCTGAGACTGCATGGTCAGGCGAGCTGCTGCTGTTTGGGAAACACGCTGGCAAAAGCTTCGAGTGGCTCCTGCAGAACCATGAAAACTATGCGGTGTATGTGGTGGCCACTCACCTGAAAGAGAGAGACGAGGGGAACATGTCTCAGAATAAACTCATGAAGAACAAGGTACTCTTTTAGTCCAAAGAGGTTCATTTGGTCTTCCAATCATTTATTTTAAGAGATTCTTTTCTCAGACTAAGGTTTCATTTGTTTTCAAACCTTGACTGCTCATAGTGCTCTCAAAGGAACATCACCTGACCACTGTGAGGATGACTGCTTTAATACAGACATATTTGTTCATTTGTCAGGACGCTCTGGCTGAGTATGTGAGACACTTCTCACATGTGATGGAGGAGGTTCATTTTTACAGAGAAGGACTGGCTCCTATTGGCTTTGGAACATATACAAATGTCACTCGTCAGGATTTATACAACTCCACAGACGAGAGGAAGAAGAGGTAAAATCTTCGGTGAAACTCTCCAAATGCCAAAAAACTAGTACTACTTCTACTAGTACTATTACATTTTGGATCACAAAACTAATCTAAAACGACATCACACTAGAGCAGACTTTTTTTTTTTTTGTACCAAAATGACTATGGGACTCTAATGAATCCTTTGTGTATCACAGATTAAGCCGTCCTGTGCATAGATGCACATCACACTAGAGCAGAGTTTTTGTTTGTTTGTTTGTAAGCGATGCTGCTGAATCCTACGTATCACCCATTAAGTAAATGTATTTGGAGAAGGAAGTGTGTACATCACAGTGGGCGTGTACTGGTGGAGGTGAACACAGTGGTAGATCTGAACTATGACATCTTGAATACAGGAGAATAAAGATGATTCAGACATGCATGAATCACTCTAAATACAACTTTGATGGAGTAAAGAGGGGAAACAACTATAACCTTTTTAAAAGTTCTGAAAAGTCCACATGTTTATATTTTTAAATGTTGCATGTTGTCTCTTTGTGCAGTTATGTGAACTGGCTGCGCTCCTTGGAGGGTTCAGGGAAAGGAGATCAGATGGAGGCTGTTCTGAAATACATCTCACATCGCGATAAAAAGGGTGCTACCGTGATTGAAAGGGTGCTACCTGCCCCTTCTCCAGATTTAGACCCCAGTTAGTCAAGTAAGTGTAACTTCATACTCCTTTCTCTCTCAGCTTTCGGTCAGAAGCAAATGTAGTAAAACTAGACTGCATTCATGTTCTACAATTTAATGATGTCTTAATCTCAGATGGGAGATTGGCTGTTTTTGAACAAAATCTCCAAAATAGAACATCAAACAGTATTTTAAAGACTATATCTGATATATGATCACTTTTGCCACATTTACAGCAGAAAGGATCCAAAATGCAGGACTGCACTTGCCAAGTCCCAGAGCGGGTGAAGACAGTACCAGTAGAGTCTGAAAAAAAAAATCTAACTGTAGTAGGGCCTGATTGGCAGTGTTGTGCATGAACGAGTTCAAAGGAACACGTTCATTGAACAGGTTCATTTTTCAGTGAACTTTGAACTGAACCCAACACATTTGTAAATCAAGAACTTGAATGTGAATTTGTTCAAATTATGTGAGATGAACGACGTACATCACTGTTGGGTTCAATTAAATGTCGGAATTTGTTTTCACCTGATGAGTCGAGTGACAAGGGCACTCGTCAGCGTTGTCGCGCGTAACGTTGCGAAACCACAGCCGCGCGTCAACGCGGAAGGCGGCTCCACAGGCAGCTGCATCAGGACGTACACGGGCGGCTCTGGCTCTGTGTTTGTCAATGGGAAAGACGATCAGACTTGACTGGGTGCGTTTAGCCGCTTGTATCAGGTCCACAGTGAAACTAACTGCTGAACAGTCTTGTGTTTAGCTTCTGTACAGACTGACCACGGCAAACACGAGGATTTCAAAAGTAAATTTTAAAGTACTTATTAACAGTCGTTCTGGACCTGGGCTTTTTCACATGACACAGAACTGCCCCGGGAGCATGATGTGCTGACGGTAAACAAACAAACACAATAATAGTTGCTCTCCCTACGCTCGCGTAGAGCGTCAAAAAATAGGTTGGATCCTATTTTCTGAAATCTCCGCGAGCGGGACGAGCTGCTCCACACACACGCCGAGCACATGCAGTGGAGCCGCTCTCAGACACTTCAGTGCATTCTAGTTACGCGTCCAAAAGTTGCAGTCGTCCCTCTGTCACAGAAAGAACACATATAGTCGTGTCCTTTAGTCCGACAGAAACCGATTCATCAGCGCAGTTTATGCAAATTAGCCTGCGGCTTTAAGTTTTCGCTTCTTCAATACAAATGTGTCAAAGCTGCACATTAAACACATTATAATGTCACACAGGCTGATGTGGCTCTAGAGTGTTTATGGTTTATGTTGTAAACTTGTAAACTGAAAGTCAGTTTGAAAAATAAGTTCAGCCTTTTATTTACAAATCTCACCTAAAAATAAAATGAACTGAACTTTGAACTAGTTCATGAAAAGTGTGAACTTGCACAACACTGCTGGTTGGAAACACCCAGAGACTCCACATGTAAAGGTGACAGCTCAGAAGTCTGCAGTGACGAGTCCAGAGAACTAGGGGACATGGACCCCAACAAAGACAAGACAGTGTGTAAAGAGGGCCTCAGGTGAGGAGCAAAAACCTGCTTAATGGAGTCCAGGAGATGAGCAGGAAGCAGCTGCTGTGTGACATCACAGGGAGGTCTCGGGGAACAGGTAACCACCCCGGACAGAGAACTATGTCCAGCGGTGGCACAGAGGCAAGAACAGAAGGAAACCACCCCAGACGGAGATTCTTGTCTGACGGTGGCTCAGGGCATAAGGAAGGTCAACACAGGGCAGCAAGTGTTCAACAGGGTTCAACAGGGACCAGGTTTAATGGAGTAGGCCACTTAAATAATAATCCAAGTGCAATGGTCTGGGAGTAAGATCCAAGTGTCAGAGGTGCAACCTGAGCTGAAAGGATTCAAAAGGCAGGACTGCATTTGCAAAGTTGTTTAACTGACTTCAACAAAAATCAGAAGAACAAGGAAACACAAAGATCCAAACAGACGTGACACTGACAATGAACCAACAAAGAGAACACAGAGTATAAATATATGCACACAGATGAACGAGACACAGGGCGGAGCGAACAACCAATACAACAGGAAGTCAAACTCAAAACACACACACTGCCAGAGATATTACAGAATAAATCTGGGTTAAAGAGCATAAAATTAGCACCATGACAACCTGATATTAGGAGGAGGAGCCGAGGAGCATCCTCACTTCTGTCTGTCTGTCCCAGGGCAGCTGTGGCTATAGAAGTGTTTAGAATGAATAAAGAGTGTATATTCTTTTCACTGTTCATGTTGTGTTATAATTGCACTTGGAATAAGATAGAATTTCTTCTTTAAATTCTCTTGAAACCAGTCAGAAGTCAGGAGATAAATTAGATCATTTGGGTCCTTCAGAAATGAGAGTATTCTACTAAAGAAGTTATAACTTATTTGTTTCTTAGAATGTACTGATCAAACACAACATAATGTGCAGAGAGTCGTGTGAGAGGGAGTGTGTTTAAGCCCTGTGTCCTTCACATCGTGTGACCGCTGAGTTTTTGTTTTTCAGATTTATTCCTGCTGTGAAGAAACTATGTCTCTGACTCAAGTGGTTTCACTTTCCTCAAACTGGAAGTTACCAAATTAATCTTTTTAGATTTAGGTTTGAACAGCTTTTCTATTGTTGCCATTGTTACTGTGGCTTATGTTTGTGTGTATCTTCTATCATGTTCCTCTTGTAAATTCACTTTTTAAACATTCATCATCATTTTAACTGGATCCTCAAAGAACATGTGTAGTTTTGCTGTAACTACTGTTGGAAACGTCTTACCTGTGCAGCCAGAACCACACGCTGAGACAAAACTTCACAAAGATGAGTGGACCTGGACCATAGACTTAGACTTAGACAAACTTTACTGATCCACAGTGTTGGGAGTGACACATTATAAAAGTAACAAATTACTACAGTAATTTAAGATCATTCTGGGAAAAAAAAATTGTAATATTTTTCTCGGTACAAATGTGAGTAACACACGTTCCAATGCATTTTTAACCTGGATTGAAGTGGTGGGTTTTTCTTCATACAAATTTGCTAAAATCACTGCGACACCAACAGTACCCACGTAGACCATCATGTGACCACGAGCGAAAGGACCGACGCAGAACTCCACGCTCCACGGCGCTAAACGCAGCTGACGCCCGATCACACCTTCAGACACCGTGTGCCACGTGCTCAGGGTTCTCTCAGGGGCGGAACTAGATTCCAAGTTCTAGTCCAAGATTAGTTCTGGTTCAGTCCATTATACGGTGCAAAAGTTCTGCATCTTTGCAGTTATTTTGGTGAGAAGTAATGTAATAGTAATGTAATGTTTTACATTTTAAATGCAGTAATATTGTAATGTAACTAATTACTTTGAAATGAATTTAAAGTCACTTGTCCAACAGTGTGGATCCACAAGGACACAGTAACTCACACATCATAAAAAATATAAAACAAAGAGCAAACATATAAATATAAAAAATAAATTCTAAATAAGTTTCAAAAAAGAGACACATGTGAAATAAAACAGAATTATATAAATGTAAATGTACAAGTCAAAATAAAATAGAAAAATAAGTAATAAAATAATATAAGTGTATAAAGAAGTGGACTAAAGGAGTGTGACATCACCTATAGCATTTGGCTCCAGTCAAATGAAGCTCATGAGGCCAGCACTTACAGGGGGGAATTTGGAACCAGTTCAACATTAAGAACGGGAATTGATTTACAGAAAAAAATGCAAAACTAAAACACCAAGATCATGTGGAGTGGGTTAATATAAACATTTTAGCTGCAGGTTATCGATGTCCATTTATACAGTCTATGGTCTAGAACCGACTCCATCTCCAGAATTCACAGACAGACGGATTTACTAATCAGAGACACACATGAAACAAACTCTTATTTATACAGTAAGTTATACATTTTGTTGGGTATGATTTGAGAATTTTCGAGATTTTTTTTTTTCTTCCACATTTGAGTTTGCAGCTGTGGTTGGATCATCCTCAGGTATGACATTTTTTTTCTCACTCTGAGGTTCGATTACAGACACTTCTTTGTTCAAACAGAATCTAAAAGGGACTGACTGATATTTACTGTTAAAATGACTGAAAGAATGTGAAGTATTAATTTATTTGATACATTTCCTGTTCCAAAATAAAATAAAATAATACAAACACTTAAACTAACTGTCCTCGTAACAGATGTAATCCTGATTTACTATTCATTACAAAAATACTAGACATGAAGGCTGAGGGGAAGTTAAGGCTTGGTATTCTGGGAAACTAAATAAAGAAAAATAAAATATACAATGCATTTGGGTAGATAGTATTGAGACAGGATTGCCAGTGCTTTTATAAATATTGGTTATTGATAAGGATGTTTTGCGGGATAAACGGTAGATTGAAAGTCAAGATTTATCTCAATTAAAAGTAGCCGGAAACAAGAGCTTTAGGATTATCAATTCTTTTAGTCAGACAGGAGAGTTTGTTTACCTGCTTTACATGTTTCGGCTACTTCTTGTTTCTTCCTCAGACATAACGGTGTGGTGATGTGTCTTGTAAGCTGCTTTACTTGGTTTTGTCAGACAGTAGGGGAAGCTGACGTGTCCTGCTGCCTTCCTCAGGACCGGAAGGTGTTCGCTCCCTCGTCCCGACTCACGCTCCTCAGACCTGCTTTGTGGATGACCATGGTGTCGTTTCATAGCCAGGCTGGTGCCATCTAGTGCCTCCACTCATTTTTATTTTTCTTCAGCGACTAGGTCAGAAATCATAATACATTAGATGGTTTGCAAGTGTAGCATAGAGGGGGCTTCAAAAGGGGTTCCCCCACTTCTATTTATTTAATTATTATTTACAACACAGGCAAGTCTGGCTAAAACACAGGACAAAGGCATTAAGTGGAAAAACATATGGTCCTTTATTCTAGTTAATATTAAAAGAGCTCATTTTACACATTTTTCTTAAGACACACAACCGACACAATTTGGGAACTAAAACCCAAAGTGCTAGTGCAAATCTATATACATTTAAAAAAAAAAGGGGGTTTAGTTTATTTAGATGCAAAGTGCTAGGTGCGTGACTTCACTTTAGGACTTTAGATATTCCAAAGTGCACTATGCGTGATTGTACACCCCCCCCAGCAGAACGCTATAGCGATTACTCCCACTACAGGTAAAAAGCTATAGAAACACTGAGAAAGTTTAAGGGACTTGGACTTCTGGCAATTTGGAGAGTTTGAGAGCAGAATACCAGCAGCAGCAGTGTAATCTGCCACACAGAGAAACATCAATTAATAAATGCCTACAAAAGCCACCACCCCCCAGCATGCATCACCGAGATCAGGAGTGCTCAATACATCGATCTCGATCTACCAGTCGATCGCCAAGGTCGTGTGGGTAGATCGCCGTGTCTCGTCTCGGACTCGTGTTTGGACTCTGTCTTGTCTCTCACTCGAGGTCTGACACTCAACAAGTGTGATCATATTTCATTACGGCCGCTGCTGTTGGCAATAAACTTGTAGCGGGTGCAGGAGCGTGTGGGGCGTCTCAGTGCAGCCTGTGCGCTCATTTGAAACCCGCGGAGACTCTACGGCGCATCACAAACACACACGCTCCCTATGCACGGCTCGTCTGCAACAGCGTGTGCCCTCGTGTACCAGCGGGCATCACAGGGCAGGTTCAACTTCCTAAACATCCTACCTGTCCATCTGCCTCACGTCAGCACGCCGCCCCTCGCCTTTTCACGCTCTCGCTCCTTCCTGCGTACAGCGAACACAAGCCCCTCCCACAGTGCGGCTGATTAGAAGAGCAAGACCAAACGTGAAGCAAAAACCAGTCTAAATTTGTGTTATAGTGTTGGCACAAAGCAGGTCTACAGCATAGAGCAGATCTACAGAACAGACCTACTGCCACATTTGGCTGAAGTTTGTCTAACAAAAGTGCACAAATGCATTTGTGTTTGTCACGATGTGTGTTTGGTTTGGTAAACGTGCAGAGGCTGGTAAATATCACTGCAAAACCAGAAAAGAATGTAACTCCAGTTTTGAACTTTAAAAAACAGGTTTAAAAATCTTCCTTCACTTTTTTCACAGTTTTGTGTAAAGTGCCAGAGGAAGTTCTCTTAAAGAAGGGGTTCTCAAACTATGGGTGAGGGTCCAAAAAAAGGGCACAGAGTGTTTCAGTGCAGTTTGCTTGGCTTTGTATTAGGTAGATCTTTATGACTTGGTCATTTTGTAAGTAGCTCACATGCTGAAAAAGTGTGAGCACCACTGACCCAGAGCCTCTACCTGGTTTCTAAAATAGGCGTATTCGACATGGGGCCGGGAGCGCGTCAGGAGCGGCCGCCGTCTCCGCCTCCTCCAGACAACACCTTTAAATTTAAGCACCAGAAACAAGGCATTAAAACAAGTTCAAAGAAACACTGAAGAAACAACTCCAGGTACTTACACGCGCCGCGTTTACAAGCCTCGAAAGCCCCGACTGCCCCACTACGGTGTGCGCAGCCTTTTCTAATCGCCTAATCAATGACGCTGGGAGCCACGCGCAGCGATGCACAGGTGGACACTTTCACGGACGCACCACAGTCAGAATAGTTCAAAACACCCGGTTACACAAGAATCCTGGAAATTGTAGACCACGCACCGGCCAATCAGCTGTGAGCTGTGAAGCCCATATCCTGGTTTAGATGTGGTTTTAGTCCTGGTTTAGACCTGGTTTTAGTCCTGGATTATACCAGGTTTAGACTGTTTTTAGTCCTGGTTTAAACCTGGTTTAGATGTGGTTTAGACCTGGTTTAGACCTGGTTTTAGTCCTGGATTATACCTGGTTTAGACTGTTTTTAGTCCTGGTTTATTCCTGGTTTATACCTAGATTTAATCCTGGTTTAGACCTGGTTTAGACTTGGTTTTAGTCCTGGATTAGACCTATTTTAGACCTAGATTTAATCCTGATTTATATCTGGTTTAGATGTGGTTTAGTCCTGGTTTTAATCCTAGTTTAGACCTAGATTTATTCCTAGTCTAGACCTGGTTTAGACCTGGTTTAGTCCTGGTTTAGTCCTGGTTTAGTGAAACTCGTCGTGTCTGTCTGGGTCCCTTTTGTGGAACAGCACAACAGTAAACAAAGGGTCAAGATGGACATAGACGAAGACAGACATTCTGTGTTGGCAACGATTCCTGAGATCAAGGATTTAAAGCCGGAACAAAGAGAATGTTTGGTGAATTTTATTGTGGCAAGGTAGCTGATCATGTGGTCACTTCCTCTTCCTGAGCAGGTCTAACACACAGCTATTTCTGGTGAGCCAAACAAATGTAATGTTTGTTCATTTTAATCTTGTTAGACAACAAATTGGTAATTTTTGTAAATATAATTTTAAGGGTTTTAACAGTCCAGATCAGAGGTATGCTTTTAACTTCTATCTTATTGTTTAATTTTAATGGATGTATTTTGTTAACTGCACTGTGTTACAGGCTCAGTGCTGGTTGTCGTTTTTGAGTTTTAGTTTGAGTTGATTGTTGATTTGTTCCAGCTCTGCAGTGGGTGTGGCCTGGAGGTGTCTGGGTGTGGAGGGGGCTCACATAGAGGGTGACCTTATTTATAGTTATTGGTGATGGTGGCACTTGTAACTGGGTGTTTTCAGTTGTGGTAACGGTTTTCTTTGTATTAATCTTGTTTGTTTTTCACTTCTAGCATGTCTCCTTCACCCCAGCTTTAGGGTGGAGCCTCCCCCCTGCAGTAGTATCCTCACCTGTTAAAAGCACCTTTAACATTTTTGTAAATAAAAGCTGCCGTCTGGCTGTTAGACCCACACACACACACTGACTGGCTTTCTTTGTTATTAAAGTTACCTGTAAATTCCAGGTGTTACATTATCAAGAGGAAAGACGTTATTGTTCTTCTTCCTACGAGATTTGGTGCATTACCTACGTCATGACCAAACAGCAACGATTGGTTAAATTAAAAAAAAGTACCTGCCTACTGTCAAGCGAAGTGAATCAAGCTAATTGTTCCAGTCCATGATGTGGCTTTGTCTCTTGGTCGTTGAGCTGATGTCAGATTTTCCTGTCCTGGTGGTTCTTTTATTGCTTGTGTTTGTGTGTCTGCTGTTTCCTTTTCACACTCTTTTTGTTGTTCTTTTTTCCCTGTTTTAAATGATCTTCCTGTTCCCCCCTCATATGTTTTGTTGCTTGATAAACACAGTATCTCATTGTGTTGCATTTGTGTTCTGGTTGTATTCTGTCCTTGCGGGTCACTAGCAACTGTGAGTTCTGTGTGCGCTTTGATTGGTGTATTGTTGTTGTGTGGCTCTCTATGTGCGTTGTGGTGAGTGTGTAGCACTTGTGGTCAGATAAAGGGGCTTCAGAGAGTGTATGTTCACTTTAATTTACTGCCGTATGCACTGAAACAAGTGACACATTTATGAACACACTATTCACTTTACAGTTAGGTTAGGCAACATATGATGCTTCCAAACTACAAAACCATATTTATCAGAAAGAAATATTCACTTAAATGATCATTTCTCACCTGAAACACAAAAGATACATCCATAACCACGCTTTTAGATTTATTCTCAAACTTTAATGATCCACAAGGGGAATGATTTGGACACAGTAGCTCACACATCACAACATAAGAAGAAATAATATAAGAAAAAAAATATAGAAATGGTAATAAATTCTCAAAAAAGAGCAAGAGACAGGTGTTGAATAAGACATAATTATATACATTTAAATGTACATGTCAAAGTAAAATAGATAAGTAATAATTTGTTACATAAGGGCAATGTTGGGAAGGTGACTTTTAAAATGTATTCCCCTACAGATTACAGATTACATACCCCAAAATGTAGTTTGTAACATAATCCATTAAATTACTTAAAGTGAGTAATGTAATCTGAATACTTTGGATTACTTGATTTGTTGTAGAGAAGCAAAGCCGAGGAAATCGTAACATAAGAAGTTTTGTCTGGTAAAAGACAGTCCACACAGCATGATTTAGTCCTGTTAAATCCTGTTTTAGACCTGTTTTAGACCTGGTTTAGACCTGGTTTAGACCTGGTTTAGTTTCCGACAATGAGTGGAATTAGGGGGAAAAAAAAAAAAGGGAATAGCCCAAAATGTAAAAACAGGAAAATATCGGCATGTAATCCATTTATTCCAACAAAGTAACTGTAATCCAATTACCACTCATTGAAACAGTAACTGTAACTGAATACAGTTACTCGTAATTTGTACTCTGATTATGTAACTCCAGTACATGTAATCTGTTACTCCCCAACACTACATAAGGGTGAGTTATTGTACAGTTGTAGGGAGTATTATAGTATGAATGTAGTCCTGTAGTGTTATCTGTCCCTCTATAGTTTGGTGCAGTGGGTGAGAGTGCATTCTCAAAGTTTTATGTGGTTTTATTCAGTGCGACACTTCAAATGAGCGCGAGATCTGTCCCTGTCACTGGAACCCGGGACCTGAAACTTGGAGTTCACCACCTGGCGGAGCTCTGATGACGTGGTTCAGAAGCCGAGGATCCTGGGAAGTGAAAAACTCCCTCTGCGCTCACTTGTCCTGTGACATGGCAGGTCAAACCGTCCGGATCATCATCAGTGAGGCGCTCGAGGACCTGAGTCCGGAAAACCTCACCAAATTCCGGATGGTGCTGTGGGAGAGGAAGAGCGATGGACTGCGTGTCACACGAACCCAGGTGGAGGGGAAGACCTGCCTGGAGCTGGCAGACTTCCTGGTGGAGACGTTCACCCGGGACAAGGCCGTGCAGGTGACGGTGGAGCTGCTCAGAGCCATCAGGTGTAACGAGGTAGCGGCGGAGCTGGGTGAGCGCGCTTTTACGCATGGCACGTCTCTCCAGCCGCCACCATCCCATCCACCGCTCTCACAGATTCAGGCGTATGATTTAGGCGTATGTAGCTTCACTGAAATATATCCTGAAGTGCTCTTTTCAACGGTTACACTAGCTGTGTTTACTTTCACTTTGGAGTTTGTGATGTATCTAACACTGGGACTGTGCCACTGTAGTGCAGTCCTGATCTGAGCACATATAAATCCATGTGCACAATACCAACATCACCAAATGCTTTTGTACAGACTCTTGAGATCAGCTCTGTGAGGTTCACCTCAAAACTGTGGAGTCACTGGAGCTGATGCCTTCATGTAATAAGACTAGACTTCTTCTGTAATACTTACAGTTACAATGTATTTACAGCATTCTTATGACTTATTGTGTTAGCTACAAATCATGTGTCTTCACTACAGTTAAACCAATATATATTGATCATTGGCTAACATTTGGACTGGTCAGCATATCGGTTATCGGCCTTAAATCTCCAGCCCAGGCCATTATTTGCTTTTCTGCTGCTTAAAGAATACTCATAAAACTTTATTTGAATAACAACAACACACTATTAAAGGGTTGTGGTAAAAAAATTAAATAAAAAATACTACAATCTACAAAATATCGACTCTCTGGATTCTAAACAATCGGCTTCAGCTCATATTGTTCACAGCACAACACCATGAATAGAAAATAGTGTAATACAGGCACATTAAATCATACTTTTTTGTTATTATTCTTTTTCCTAATTTGGATTTTATTCTAATGTTTTCAGATAAAAAGGCAAAACCCCCAAAGAAAAAACTACAACCTGCACAAAAAAGGCAGTCTCCATCAGCTTCTGGTGAGTTTTCTGTAAATACTTTTACTGTAATTTGACCTGACCCAAAACACAGGAGAAACAGACCACAGCCCTGAATATAACTACAGTATAACTGTCCCCAACTTTGTAATAAGTTGTAAAAGTACTAGTACCTCTACTGCAGGAGTGCTAAAATACACATGTCTGAGTAAAAGCTTATGGCAGGAGTGTCCAAATGTTTTTCACTTATAGAAACAGACTGATGGGCCACACAGTGAGTCGTCCATGTGCAGCTCTGACACATGCACTGTAGATTTAGTAAAGGGTCCATATGACACTATTTTCTGATCTCTGTTCTAATGTCGTTTTCTCATCACAAACAGACATGGAGTTGTGTTTTGTTTCATTCATGTTTAACAAACAAACCATGTAGATTTAAGCTGAGTTCTTCTCTTAAACAGAAAACACTGTTCCACCTTGTGATGTCATGTTGTAATACAGGAAGTGCTTATTTGAAGTAGAATCATTTGGATGACTTCAGCTCTGAAGTTTCCATTCTCTGCTGAACTAAAGTTAAAAGGCAGCTGTTAGCTTGAAGCTACCACTTCATGACATCACAAGTTGGAACACAGTATTTTGAGATTTGGAGATGTAGAATAATAATAATTGTTACTCAAACATGTGTGAATGAAACAAAACAGAACTCCAGGTGTGTTTTTGAGAAGGGAACAACATTATAACCTGGTTTAAATGTCAGAAGAGTCCATTTTGCTTCATATAAAATCATTAAGGTCTGAAATATTATTAGATCTGTGTCACAATGCAGTGTGATTGTGATAGAATTACTTACATTTGCAGTTGATGGGCATGATTACTGCTTATAATGATACGACTAGGGCGCTATTTCCACTGTCTATTTAATGGAATCATATTGTTGCAAATATAATAAATGTTCTTCATGTGTTTCAGCCTCTGGAGCACCTGCTGCACCTCAGAAGAGTAAGTGTATTTCAGACACACACAGAGCCACAGCTGAAGCAGCATTTAATTCTATAGATATCTATAGATTCTCTGGCCCTCCTCCTTGAACGTTACCATGGATAAAGAAATGTTCAAAAATATGTATAAAAAGCATATGAGTTTAATTGAATCTTATAAAAACATACAGTAAAGCAAAATACATATAGTGCAAATATAATACAGGAATTACAAAATGGAATCACTTCATAGTGCATTATTATAAGGCCATGTAAAATTATCCAAGCTTATTTCATTCTTTCTTTCTTTAGAATCATATGTATGGTATTTGGAAATAAGTATTTAAAAGAAGACATTTCAGACTGTAGCAAGTACTACATCTGGACAATACACATAATGAGCTTCAGTGTGGACAAGGGAAGTCAACTAAAGTAATTTTAGTACCACAAGGACATTAAATGTACTACCTAGAAATGACATGAACAAGGGCTTTCTCCAAATCAATGCCTTTCTCAGGCTTTCTCAGCAATAACATTTCCATAGAGAAAAGCATCTGACGGACCCTCCATTTAAAAAATTACACAATGCACCTTGAAGTGTTTTTGTGTTTATTTGGTTCAAACAAATTAATATTAATAAATGAAATAATATGCATCAAAATAAATCAAAGGTTACAAGACTATGGAAAACAAACCTTGAACTGTGCTGTATCCAAAATCACTCGAAAGAACACAGATACTAAAAAAAGAGTCCTAAAACCAAAGATGAAAACAAAATACTTGTCTCTGTAAGACACAGTAACTGTACACGTGCCATTAAGGGCCTTATAAAGAAAAACTGGAGCATCCTCAAAAGCGACCAGTCACTGGCATCTGTTTTCCCTGAACCTCCATCATTCGCTGTACAAAGAGCATCTACTTTAAAAGATTAACTTGTGAAAAACTATCACCCTGCAGAAAAAAAATGTTTTTTTCCTAAACTGTTTGGTACGTTTCAGTGTGGTGCCTGTAATCACTGTACCCACATGAATATGTACATCCTTTAAAGACTCTTCAGGTCCAAAAAATTTTCACACATGTTCATTTTGCAAACTGGAATACCACACATGTGGTTTACATGGTCTACATGCCATAGGTGTCTTCTTGCTGTTTTGTGGGTCTGCCCTTTCCTCATGATTGGCCAGCCTTAATATAATTTATATTTTTTGCTTCTTATTTTAGCTGTATTTTTTTTCTTTCAGAAAGAAGAAATGCATCTCATTTGAATGTAAGTACACTGTTGGGACACCATGTAAAACTGTTTCTGAATATTGATTAGAATTGGCTATATTTTCTTGCAGTAGGACTCTGTGGTCACTTTATAGCCTATAGAATGGATCAATTTTGTACATGTTTCTACAAAATTCATTTGACCTCAACCAGGCTTAATTCCTAAAATCTTTGTGTTATGACAAGTTTTTTTTATGTTTTTTTTTTTCAATTGGCACATGGTTTGGTGTATAGTACCTGCAGAATTTGTGAAGAAAATTACAAAAATGAAGGAAATAGCAGTGAGTTAGCGAGTCTGCCTATGTCATCAACACTAACAAGTCCATTTAAATTCAGGGATGTTGGACTCACTTCTTTGCCAAGTCCAGACTAATACTGTATCTGCTGTATCCCTATGCTGCAGACCCTCTGACTGGATCTGTTGTGGGATGGGGAGTGCATGAGAAAGACACTGGTCTGCTATGTAATGGGAGGCAAACGAATTGTGGAACATAGAGAAAACTAAAAAAGTTGACGTGTGTGTGCACGGGCATACAGGGTGCTTACTTGCATCGTGGGGCTCTGGAGCTGTACCCATAATTTTTCCCCCACTCCAGTTTGGTAACCTGTCATATGCACTTTAAACTTAACCAGGACTAAATTAGTCAAACATTGACACTAAATGAGTTGCCTGAACCAAAATGTACAGCTCTGATCCAGCCATATTCAGCAGCGTCATTTAAACACCTCAAACACCCACAGGCTTCACAGTGTGTGGGCACAGAAACAACAACTAAATAAAATACAAAGCATCCAGAACACATGCCCTCCCCTCAGCTGCTCCTGGAGGAGCAGCGGCTGTACTCCGAGCTCCTCCCATGTGACTGATCTCACCCTGTCTCTAAGGGAGTGCCCCTGTGGAGGAAACACGTTTATTTCTGGGGGCTGAGCTGTAGCTGTACTTTACTGAGATATAAATATTGAGTTGAGTTGTTCTAAAATGTTTTATTTCAGTTAGCTCATGTGTGTTTTGTTTGTCTCTTTTATCATAAGGAAACCCCCAGTGGGAGTGAGCCCGGCCCATCTACTGCCCAGGCCAATGGCTCAGTGAACTCTCCCCAAAAAGAGAAGGGAAAAAGGCCCAGACCAGGGCAGCAGGAGCTGTCTCAACAACTGCTGCTGTTTGGTCAATACAAAGGCAATAGCATTGACTGGCTTCTGCAGAACCACGTGGACTACGCTGGATATGTGGTGGCCACTCACCGGAAAGAGAGAGAGGAGGGAAATATGAGTCAGAGTAAATTAATGAAGAACAAGGTACAGCACCTCCAACCTCTGTCACATCAAAAACATCACAATTCTGTTTCTCTGTCTGTAGAGGCAACTCTTTACACCTTTTCAACTTTCAAGGTCTCAGTGAAGCTCCACAGGTAGGGTCATCAAATCCAGGGTTATGGTGATTTGAGGAGAGTAACAGCCCTCAGGACAAAAGTGTCCCTTCTCTGTGTCCGTCCAGGGGGAACCACAACAGGAAAGCCCCTCCTAAGCCTCACTGTAACTTTGCTCTGTTGTTTCAGTTGGTGATGAGCTAAAGGGAGAGGGGAACCATCAAGGTATTCAGTGAAGGCCCAAGAAAAAATATTGAAAGAATTTTTGTACTACTAATAAGATTTTTCAATATTTTTTAGTCAGTGAGTAATAAATACTACACTAGTTCTAGATCATTCTTATAAACTTGGACTAATATTTCTTGGGAAACAAAGGGTTAACATAATTGAATGAAAATGGACCAATCACAATGTTTCTTTGCTATCTGGGTAAATCTGTGACTCTCCCTGCAGCACTGAACTAAAGAAACAGTTGCAGGACCTTCATGGGCTGTAACGAAGACTCGTCCAATTCAAGTCAATGTGGGGATGAATTGGAGATTGACAGTTTAGCCAGTTGTATTTCATTGAGTTATGGGCGGGATCATATCACAACATTTTCCGGACCTTAACAAATACCCTGTGATAGCAAATGTAAGTGAGACCCCAGCATCAAAAATCGTGCTGGACGCTGTGGGTGTCTGAAAGAAGAAGAAAGAGAAAGACCCAAGAACCGGAGCTCGGAGCCGGGCCGGCCACGGATCCATCCATCTGTAGTTGTTGAACAGAAGCTAATGATAATTAAACAAATATATATATATATATATATATATATATATAAAAAAAAAAAAACTAAATTAAGTGAATCTGTGATTCACTTAATTTAGTTTTTTTTTTATATATAAATGATGTGATGATAGACAGTGATTGGTCCTAGTGATCCTTGCTGACTCAGAACAGTGAGTATAATCCAGGATGTTGACAGCAGATGTCTATGGCTACAGTCCTCTCTGCTCCACACTCACACTGGTCAAAACAAGCAGGTTTTTTTTGCAGGTGTGGTCTGCGCTGAACTTAATTTATTGTTCTTTTCAACAGAGGCTGAGATATATTAGTGTATTTTATTAGTTACTATTAGTTATTTTATTTTTATTTGTACAAACACAAATCAGTAGGCTATATTTCTACATCTTCTAAATCTTTAACTATCTTTGCTTTTGTTGTTAATTTTTTGCTCTTTGTGTCTGTGTGTGTGTCTTTCTCAGGACGCTCTGTCAGAGTACGTGAGCCTTTTCCCAGAGGCGGAGAAGGAGGTTCTCTTTTATCACCAAGGACAAACTCCTCTTGGATTCGGGAAATATGAAAAACTCACTCATTATGAACTGTATGAGTCCAAAAAAGATGCCCATAAGAAGTAAGGATTCATTATAACTGTGTTATATTAACTATTCATAAATATGGTAAAAACTACACTACACCTACCACAAATTACTTCTTTTAAGAAATATTAGAAGTACATACTGGCAAAATGATGACTGGTAACCCCACATGGGTAGTTTTGGTGTGAACTTTCTTTCTTGTTGCTCCTCTATTTTATCTTAAAAATTCTGTTTTGATTGTGTCGTCAGCTTGTCTCCATGGCATTATAAGTATACTTATATTTAGCAATATAATATATTTATATTTTTTGTATTGTTAAGCAGACCTATTCTGCAAAATTTACTTTTAATCATGTTATAGCTGTTTCCCCTCACCATTGACCCTCTGAGGTTGTATTTGCTGTGATTTGTACATGTTTGAGTCTTTAAACTCTTATTTTTCAAGACACCATTTTACAGATCAACCCTTGTTTTCACCTCCATCAGTACAAGCCCACTCCTCTGTACTTACTTACCTATTTTTTTTATTTTCTTACTCAGTGATACTTGTGGCATTTGGCAGCGTTGCTTAGTCATTTTGGTACAAATGAAATCTGCTACTCATTAATTTCCGACTCTTTGTTGTGATGACGCGACATCAGCTCCCATTGAGCATCACAGTTTTCTAATGTGGAAGTCAGCGCACTCGTCTCTTTTATGAAGTTGTTTAGATGAATATTGCAATTTAAAATGCGCTAATTATAACCATGAGTGTCAGAGAATATAACTATAGAGCACATACACAAGGACAATAGGTTTTCTTTAAGCAAAGCAACATCTTCATTAAGTAAAGAAGGTTTTGGACTTTCCACCAGAAAACAACATAGTGCCTCTTTAAGAAAACACACACCCAAAGCACACCTCAGCTGTGTTTCAAACAAGAAAAGCAAAGTCCCCAGTGCAGCCGGTCACAAGGCTGGTTTCATCTGCGCACCCAGAGTTTAACAAACTCACTGCTAATTTCTTTTTCTCCTTGTGTGCAGATATGTCAATTGGCTCCATTCACAGAAGAATAATAAGGACCCAAAGATCGTGGACTCTGCAAAATACATTTTACACCGTGAATGCAGGAAAAGTCAACCTGGCATCAGGTGAGGTTCAACCCTTCTGATGAGCCATAAATTGATAAGTTCCAGAGTTGAGTTTTTTATTCTTTTTTCTATACTGTAGTGTAGTATGTGCACAGAGCACTGATAATGAAGCCTTTGAATTGTTTACAACAGCTCCCTGTCCACAGCAGTTAGGCTGGACTTTGTAATACTTTTACTACTACTCAACTGTGGTGACTGTCTGAAACATAAAAATGACAGATATTCTAATTCAATCTTGGACATGACTCAGAAGCGCAGCCTGGTGTCATGTGTATTGGACGTGCACGGACATTTGTCTTGATTTGCTCTGACCATGATCTGTTCTCTTTTTCAGCACTGAACTTCCTGTGAAGAAACAGAAGCAATGATTCAAAACGTTTTTAGGTCTTCAAACTTAAACAACTGCATGTAAATTGAGCTTTTTCAAAATTTTGACATAAAAATATTGTAAACTAAAACACATTTTTGCATATGACATGAATCAGATTTTATAATATATTTATTTATTTATTTTTTTTAAGTTTTTTTTTTTTAGACACATGATCAAATAATTTGATGTTTTTATACAGATTTTTAAAAAGCATGTTTTTTATTTTTATAACCCTAACTCCACACACAAATAGGCTACGTAATTCTGGGTTTGAGAGATTTCCATTGAAAACACTGATAAAGCAGTTGTATTAAAAAAGTTCCACACAGTATGTGTAACTGTATAAATGATTGAATCATTAATAATGATTAAAAGTGAATCTGTAAAAGTGACTTTTTGTCATTTTTCAGTCTGGGGTTTGAGTTAGATTAGTCCGGGCTTGTACCTGATTTGGTCTGTTTATGCTTTAATCACATTTAATCTTTATATTTTACTCTGTTTAAGGAATGCCACAATATGAAACTAAACTGTGAGAACAAACTTGATGTTACGATAATCCACAATTATAGACCTCATCACCAAACAAGAGTGAAAGTCTTTACTCACTTTATTTCACTAATCTGTCTCCTGCTTTCCTCCAGTCTGTGAGCTGCTGTGTCAGATCAGACTCTACGTGTTTCTGTAGATGAATAATGTTCTTCTACATTTTGGCTTGTATCTTGTATTTGGCTTTGCACAGAAAACAACAACAGACATAAAGAGACAGATGAAACACACTTTACATTAGCTTTATGGTTTTGGAGCGCAGAGTGAACTGGACTCACTCATGTCATTTGGTGTCATAATCACAGGTGGGATTTAGGATTCCTGTTTCTCCCCTTGTTCTGTCTTCCCCTCCCCTCTGTGTTGGTGTGTGGGTAGTCCTGGTTTAGTCACACAGCTGAGTCTTGTTTTAGTCCTGGTTTAGTCACACAGCTGAGTCTTGTTTTAGTCCTGGTTTAGTCCTGGTTTAGTCACACAGCTGAGTCTTGTTTTAGTCCTGGTTTAGTCCTGGTTTAGTCACACAGCTGAGTCTTGTTTTAGTCCTGGTTTAGTCCTGGTTTAGTCACACAGCTGAGTCTTGTTTTAGTCCTGGTTTAGTCCTGGTTTAGTCCTGGTTTGAGTCTTGTTTTAGTCCTGGTTTAGTCCTGGTTTAGTCACACAGCTGAGTCTTGTTTTAGTCCTGGTTTAGTCCTAGTTTAGTTCTGGTTTAGTCTTAGTGTAGTCCTAGTTTTAGTCCTAGATTAGTCCCGGTGTAGTCCTGGTTTAGTCCTCATGTCATCCTGGATTAGTTCTGGTTTAATCCTGGTTTAATCCTGGGGTAGTCCTAGTTTAGTCCTGGTTCAGTTCTAGTTTAGTCCTAGGTTAGTCCTGTTTTAGTCCTGGTTTAGTCCCAATGTAGTCCTAGTTTAGTCCTAGGTTAGTCCTGGTTTAGTCCTGGTGTAGTCCTGGTGTAGTCCTGGTTTAGTCCTGGTTTAGTCCTGGTTTAGTCCTGGTTTAGTCCTAGTTTAGTCCTGGTTTAGTTTTAGTGTAGTCCTAGTTTAGTCCTGTTTTAGTCCTGGTGTAGTCTTGGTGTAGTCCTAGTTTAGTCCTGGTTTAGACCTGGTTTAGTCCTGGTTTAGTCCTGGTTTAGTTCTGGTTTAGTTCTAGTGTAGTCCTAGTTTTGTCCTAGGTTAGTCCTGGTGTAGTCCTGGTTTAGTTCTGGTTTAGTCCAGGTTTAGTCCTGGTGTAGTCCTGGTTTAATCTCGGGGTAGTCCTAGTTTATTTCTGGTGTAGTCCCGGAGTAGTCCTAGTTTAGTCCTGTTTGTCTTGGTTTAGTCCTGGTTTAAATTTGGTTCAGTCCTGGTTTCCTGGTTTAGTCCTGGTTTCGTCCTAGTTTAGTTCTGGTTTAGTCCTGGTTTAGTCCTGGTTTAGTCCTGGTTTAGTCCTGGTTTAGTCCTGGTTTAGTCCTGGTTTAGTCCTGGTTTAGTCCTGGTTTAGTCTTCATTAAACACATGACTTTTGTTTGAATAATCCATACGTTTATTCACAGTGCATAGACAGAAATAACACAGAGGTAGACCGAGTTTTGTATTTCAAAAAAAAAAATAAAAAATAAAATAAAAAGTTAAATGCACAAAACTCTACAAAATTATTTACACATTTACAAAGCGTTTTGGGACAGACAGACGTTTTTCATTTAGTGCTTTGACCCTGAGAAACTTGGACTTTGGGAGTAGTTCTCAAGCTGTAGTGCGCTCCCCCTGGTGGAGCCCAGGAGTATTACAAGATTCAAGTCCTGCTTTCGTTTAGTGCTCTTTCCACTAGTCCTGTTTTAGTCCAGGATTAGTCTGTTTAGTCCTGGTTTAGTTCTGAAATACTCAAGGTAAATCCGTGTTTAGTCCTGGTTTAGTCCGAGTGACAGAGCCCCATTTTAGTCTTAGTTAAGTATTTCAATTTCTGTCCAGTAAGTCCTAGTTAAGTTTATCCCTGTTGTAGTCCTGGTTTAGTTCACAATTAGTCCAGTTTAAGTCTGAGTTTAGTTCTGGTAGCTTATAGGTCTGGTGAAGCCCATTTATGTCATAAATTAGTCCTGGTTTAGTCCAAGTTAAACCTGGTTTAGTGCTGGTTTTATTTATCTCTGTTGTAGTCCTGGTTTAGTCCACGTAAACCTGGTTTTGACCTGGTTTAGTCCTGGTTTTATTCATCCAGGTTATAGTTCTGGTTGAGTTCAAAATTAGTCCTGGTTTAGTCCAGTTTAAGTCTTAGCTTAATTCCCTTGAAGTCCATTTATGTCATAATTTAGACCTGGGATAGTCCTGGTTTTGATAGTCCTGGTCCAGGTGACTTAGTCCTGGTTTAGTCCAAGTTCATTTCTGGTTTGACCTGGTTTTATTTACGCTTATTGTAGTCCTGGTTTGGTTCCGACTTAGACCTAGTTTAGTCCTGGTTTAGTCCAGTTTCAAATCTTAGTTTAGTTCCCTGGTTTGGTTCTGTTGTTAGTCCTGTTAAAGTCCTGTTCTAGTCCGGTTGTGATCATGCTATAGTCCGGTTGTGATCCTATTGTGGTCCGGTTGTGATCCCATTCTAGTCTGGTTGTGATCCTGCTTTAGTCTGGTTGTGATCCTGCTTTAGTCTGGTTGTGATCCCGCTCTGGTCCGGTTGTGATCCCGCTCTGGTCTGGTTGTGATCCCGCTCTGGTCCGGTTGTGATCCCGCTCTGGTCCGGTTGTGATCCCGTTCTGGTCCGGTTGTGATCCTCAGTCCCTTTGCGTCATCACTACGAGCCCCAGTGGCTGTCTGACGTTGATGATGTCACGGCGGTGGACGGGCCGTTGACGCCGCTGACCACTTCCTGTGCGGTTTTACCCAGCATGCCTTGCACGTCGCACACGAAGCGGTAGACGTAGCGTTTCCCGGCCGTCTTGTGGATGATGTTTTTGTGGTAGTAGTAACGCAAACCACGACTGAGCTTCTCGTAGTTCATCTTCGGCTTGTTCTTACACTGACCCCAGCGCTTGGCCACCTGGAAGTACAAGTACAAGATTACTACTACTACTACTACTACTACTACTACTACTACTACTACTACTACTGCTGACCCAAACACTTGGCCACCTGGAAGTACAACAAATACACGACTACTACTACTACTACTACTACTACTACTACTACTACTGACCCTAGCGCTTGTCCACCTGGAAGTACAAATACAAGATTACTACTACTACTACTACTACTACTACTACTGACTACTTGGCCACTACTACTTACTACTACTACTACTACTACTACTACTGACCCCAGCGCTTGGCCACCTGGAAGTACAAGTACAAGATTACTACTACTACTACTACTACTACTACTACTACTACTACTGACCCAAACACTTGGCCACCTGGAAGTACAACAAATACACGACTACTACTACTACTACTACTACTACTACTACTACTACTACTGACCCCAGCGCTTGTCCACCTGGAAGTACAAGTACAAGATTACTACTACTACTACTACTACTACTACTACTACTACTACTACTACTACTACTGACCCCAGCGCTTGGCCACCTGGAAGTACAAGTACAAGATTACTACTACTACTACTACTACTACTACTACTACTACTACTACTACTGAACCAAACACTTGGCCACCTGGAAGTACAAGTACAAGATTACTACTACTACTACTACTACTACTACTACTACTACTACTACTACTGACCCCAGCGCTTGGCCACCTGGAAGTACAAGTACAAGATTACTACTACTACTACTACTACTACTACTACTACTACTACTACTACTACTGACCCACGCTACCTGGAAGTACAAGTACAAGATTACTACTACTACTACTACTACTACTACTACTACTACTACTACTACTACTACTACTACTACTACTACTACTGACCCCAGCGCTTGGCCACCTGGAAGTACAAGTACAAGATTACTACTACTACTACTACTACTACTACTACTACTGACCCCAGCGCTTGGCCACCTGGAAGTACAAGGACAAGATTACTACTACTACTACTACTGCTACTACTACTGCTGCAACTACTGCTAATACTACTACTACTACTACTACTACTACTACTACTACTACTACTACTACTACTACTACTACTGCTGCTACTAAAGACCCCAGCGCTTGGCCACCTGGAAGTACATGAAGTACATGAATGCCTCAGGACTAGCCCCAGATCAGTATTCGTAGGTCAGTCTCCTCTCGTGAGGGTTTCTCTGTTGAAGTCGTTTGTAAAATGTGAAAACATGAATCATGAGCTGTGAACTTTAAAACCCTGTGAATTGGTTGAACTGTTTGAGTTGTGTACGTGAGGCACAAAGGACTGAAGAATGAACACTGAGCGTGGGAACAGTTCTTGTTCTTGAGTCGTGGTTTATTTGGGTTTCTGTTTACGCCTGAGCTCAACATGACCTATATTTGGTTTGACCACAAGGGGGCAGTGTGGAGTCAAACTGGGTGCATGGGTGCATGGGTGACAGGAGGGCGCATGTTTTTACTTTTCTATCAGTCTAGCCTCCACTATTCTGCTTTTCCCATATTACTGGGCATCCACCCTCTCCAATCACAATTAATAACATTCAATTATTTTATGTGATATTTGATTCCATGAAAAAAAAAAAAAAAAGGTTTCAATCTTTAGCTCCACTCAAAAGCTGCTCAAAAATGTATTGTCTCCATGGGGTCTTGTTCTGTGTAAAAGCTGTTAAGCCTGTAGTTTAGGTGTAGTTAGGGCTTCTTAATTTAGACCTGGTCTAGTCCTGGTTTAGTCCTGGTTTAGTCCTAGGGTAGTCCTGGTGTAGTCCTGGTTTAGTCCTGGTGTAGTCCTGAATTAGTCCTGGTTTAGTCCTAGTTTAGTCCTGGTGTAATCCTGATTTAGTCCTGGTGTAGTCCTGGTTTAGTCCTGGTATAGTCCTGGTTTAGTCCTGGTGTAGTCCTGATTTAGTCCTGGTTTAGTCCTAGTTTGGTCCTGGTGTAATCCTGATTTAGTCCTGGTTTAGTCCTAGTTTAGTCCTGGTGTAATCCTGATTTAGTCCTGGTGTAGTCCTGGTTTAGTCCTGGTATAGTCCTGGTTTAGTCCTGGTGTAGTCCTGATTTAGTCCTGGTTTAGTCCTAGTTTAGTCCTGGTGTAATCCTGATTTAGTCCTGGTTTAGTCCTAGTTTAGTCCTGGTGTAATCCTGATTTAGTCCTGGTTTAGTCATAGTTTAGTCCTGGTTTAATCCTGGCGTAGTCCTGGTTAAATCCTGGTTTAGTCCTGGTGTAGTCCTGGTTTAGTCATAGTTTAGTCCTGGTTTAGTCCTGGTGTAGTCCTGGTGCAGTCCTGGTTTAGTCATAGTTTAGTCCTGGTTTAGTCCTAGTTTAGTCCTGGTGTAATCCTGATTTAGTCCTGGTTTAGTCATAGTTTAGTCCTGGTTTAGTCCTGGTTAAGTCCTGGTTTAGTCCTGGTGCAGTCCTGGTTTAGTCATAGTTTAGTCCTGGTTTAGTCCTGGTTTAGTCCTGGTGTAGTTCTGGTGTAGTTCCTGTGTTGCCGTCGGTTCTTATTGCGTTTAGAAGCTGCTCTCCCTGTAGTTCAAACTCTCCATCTGTTTTCTGAAGCTCTGTGGACGGAGCGTTACCTCCGAGGGGTCGGACATCTTGAACTCCCAGCCGTCTCCAGTCCACGAGATGAAGCTTTGACACGAGGCGTCGAGGAGAAGCTCCAGGAGGAACTGCCACAGCTGGATCGGACCAGAGCCTGAGCCGGAAAACAGCAACATTTAAAGAGGGGAGGTTTCTACCAAGTTATAACATTCTCTCATCAAAAAAAAAAAAAAAAAAAAAAAAAAAGGTCTGAAGAGGTTTTTGATGTCATCCGTACATGTTTGAGTCATTTAGAGATCTCTCAATCTATCTCTCCTGGGTCAGATGCCCTCCCTATGTGTCAGATGCCCTCCCTATGTGTGTCAGATGCCCTCCGTGTGTGTCAGATGCCCTCCCATGTGTGTGTCAGATGCCCTCCCATGTGTGTGTCAGATGCCCTCACGTGTGTGTCAGGTGCCCTCCCTGTGTGTGTCAGATGCCCTCCTCGTGTGTGTCAGATGCCCTCCCTGTGTGTCAGATGCCCTCCCATGTGTGTCAGATGCCCTCCCTATGTGTGTCAGATGCCCTCACGTGTGTGTCAGATGCCCTCCCGTGTGTGTCAGATGCCCTGTGTGTGTGTCAGGTGCCCTCCGTGTGTGTGTCAGATGCCCTCACGTGTGTGTGTCAGATGCCCTCCCGTGTGTGTCAGATGCCCTGTGTGTGTGTCAGGTGCCCTCCGTGTGTGTGTCAGATGCCCTCACGTGTGTGTGTCAGGTGCCCTCCCGTGTGTGTCAGATGCCCTGTGTGTGTGTCAGGTGCCCTCCCGTGTGTGTGTGTGTGTCAGATGCCCTCCTCATGTGTGTCAGATGCCCTCCCTATGTGTGTCAGATGCCCTCACGTGTGTGTCAGATGCCCTACCTATGTGTGTCAGATGCCCTCCATGTGTGTCAGATGCCCTCACGTGTGTGTGTCAGATGCCCTCCCGTGTGTGTCAGATGCCCTGTGTGTGTGTCAGGTGCCCTCCGTGTGTGTGTCAGGTGCCCTCCGTGTGTGTGTCAGGTGCCCTCCGTGTGTGTGTCAGGTGCCCTCCGTGTGTGTGTCAGATGCCCTCCCCTGTGTGTCAGGTGCCCTCCCCTGTGTGTCAGGTGCCCTCCTCTGTGTGTCAGATGCCATCCCTGTGTGTCAGGTGCCCTCCCTGTGTGTGTGTGTCAGATGCCCTGTGTGTGTGTCAGATGCCCTCTGTGTGTGTGTCAGATGCCCTCCCGTGTGTGTGTGTCAGGTGCCCTCCCGTGTGTGTCAGATGCCCTCCCTGTGTGTCAGGTGCCCTCCCTGTGTGTGTGTGTCAGATGCCCTCCCGTGTGTGTGTGTCAGGTGCCCTCCCGTGTGTGTCAGGTGCCCTCCCGTGTGTGTCAGGTGCCCTCCATGTGTGTCAGATGCCCTCCGTGTGTGTCAGGTGCCCTCCCGTGTGTGTCAGTACCTGGATAGGCCGACATGGCAGCGACAGGCGTCTCTCTCTCCGCTCTGTGCGCCGACGTGGATGCGTTTTTGCGCTTGGCCACGCGGGGGCAGTACGAGTGGGCCGTCCCGGGACTGGAGCTGGGGTGCGGGGGTGCGGGGGGTGGTTAGCGTGCGGGGGGTGAGAGGGGGGAGGGGAGGCGAAGGAGGAGGGGGCGGAGTAATCGGGCCAGTAGTCCGGGCACGTGTAGGACTCGCCGACGGCTGAAAAACACACGGAGAACAGAGACACGGAAGAGATTAAGTGTGATTTTGTGCCGTAGTGTCGATTTATGTTTTCGAATTTTTCTGTTGCGACACCGAAATGTCACCATGTTTTACAATAATTTGGGCTTTTTAAATCTTATACATCATAAAAAATAAAAAACTTTGAAATAAGATACAAAGATAAAAGAAACAAATCTGCTGACTTCTGTGTTGGAAAACTGTGGTGCCCACTTATGTCATCATTTAGTCCTGGTTTAGTCCAAGTTAAACCTGGTTTTGGCCTGGTTTAGTCCTGGTTTTAGTCATCCCAGTTATAGTTCTGGTTGAGTTCAAAATAAGTCCAGGTTTAGTCCAGGTTTAGTCCAAGTTTAGTGCTGGTTTAGTTCAGGTTTAGTTCAAGTTCAGTCCTGGTTTAGTCCAGGTTTAGTCCAAGTTTAGTGCTGGTTTAGTCCAGGTTTAGTCCAGGTTTAGTTCAAGTTTAGTCCAGGTTTAGTCCAGGTTTAGTCCTAGTTTAGCTGGTAGCCTATAGGTCTGTTGAAGTCCACTTTCGTTTTATTCATCAGATTACATTTTAAATGAAGTACTTTTTTACTTTTACTCAAGTAGATTTTTAGATGGTTACTTTTACTTTTTCTTGAGCAGGATTTAAGTAAAGTAAAGATACTTTTACCAAATTACATTTTTCTGTTCTTTTTCCTCCTCTGATTATATATTTAAGGCTATTTAATATAAAGATTTGAGTGTTTGAGCAGAATCTGAGTGTCTAAATGAACTACACAGATTCATAAATGAGTTGAAATTGTTCATAACTAAAGTTTAAAGTTTGATCACCGTGTGCAAACAACATCAAACCCACATCTCTAATCCAAACAAATATGTTGTCAAACTAGGGAGATTAGGATTTGGCTTTATTGGATCTATCTAAGTGTAAACATAAGGCTGCCTGTTTCAAAGGGGTGGTGTGAATCAATAGACGACACTGTCGATTCAGGCTGCTGGAGCTCATTTTGACAGGGCAGCCCATTTCAGCTGAACACCGTTATAAAAAAAGCACGGTTTAGGAGAGTTTAGAGACAAAAGTGGGATAAGGTGGACAGAATGTTGTGAAGCTCGTCTTAATTTCCACTTGAGTTGGTTTTATGGTCGTGTTCACACATGTTCCTGTCCTGACCTGGTCCGGAGCTGATGGACGGGCTGGAGCTGTAGGGGCTGTGGCTGCACTCCGCGGCCGGGCTGAAGTGACTGTTCTGGGGGACGAGGCTCTGGTACGACAGCCCCGACCCTGGATCCTGGAAGGACTGCTCCACACTCACACCGTCTGGAAAATCACAGGTACAAACATGGTTATTCTCCTTCAAACTTCTGCTGTGTGCAAAGCAGAGAAGCACATCAAATGAGGCTAAAGACAATAGCCCAGATCCCCCCACTGCCACGCCCACCACTGCCACAGAAAATCTGACCACAGCAACAACATGCCACATGTATGTACAGTGTGTACTCAGAGGAAACTCAGCACAACAGTCACATCAGTCATTTTCAGATGAACACAGCTCAGTTAAAGAGCAAACACGTCCCCAGATGTCACAACCCAGCCACATTGTCAAATGTTAGACTTTTAGACGAAGCTTTTGCAAAAAACAATTCTAATGCATCTGTACATGTGAAAGTTCTATCAGCGGAAAGAATGAAATCACCTGAATCCATCAATACCACATGTTTTTCTATCCCAACTATCACCAAACTGGTCAAAAGGTGCAGCCAAGCAAAACAATTAATTATAATTAAAAAAACATTTTTACCCTTTGCTGTTTTTCCATCAAAGGTTTATTCCCAGTAAAAACCATGTACCATGTAAATGTACAGAAACAATCCTGCAAAAAATGTTTCTAGGAGAAAAGAGACACTCTACCTACATAAATGTACTGTCCTTGTGTATCAAAATGTGCTTTTATCTCAAGAAATGATTTATTCTGACTAAATCTGATGATGCCAATTGGCACATGGGTGGCACATGGGTGGCACATGGGTGGCACACGGGCAACACACTGGCACAGGACACCTGGACTTTTTCTACTAAAAAGAGTAAAATGTACATATTTTGTGATCCTCACATGTGATGGTCTCATGTTTTTACACTTCCTGTGTTTCAGAAGATACATCCAAAGTTTAAAGGGCAATTTTCAGTTTTAATTTTATATTTTTTGTCAGGTGAAATTGAAAATGTTGTATTTGAGTCTAATGTTCTTATTGCTAATGTTATATAATGTCATTATTTAACACCAGACAGAAAACACCGAGATCATCCATGTGGGCCTGAGAAAACCCACACTTTATATGTTTATACTTTTCACTTCCCGAGGATCTGACCAAACAAGGCCCAGCAAACGTTTCAATGTGAAACTGTGTCGTGGAGGTGAAAGATCTTAAACGTGTTGGAGGAGGAGAGCAGAGTTACAGGTGGAGGAAACTATGGAAACCAGCACAGTTCCATGGAAACAGAAAAGATAAAACCAGACTTCGGAACATTCTCCATAAAGATAGATAGGCCCTCCTCCAGACTAAATAACAGTCAGGTTTGTGGAGATGCAAGCCCGCTCACTGTAAGGCCACAAGTTTTTATTGTTTTTCAGAGCAATAAACCCAACCAAAATGAAAAACATGCTTTCACTGGACTCTACTTTTGGACTAAAACATTACATACTGTGGCTTTAATAAATATTGAGAAGTTTTTCAGGTTCATCCTGCTGGGGGTGTTCTGCCTGCATGTCTGTGGTGGAGTGTTCAGCAGTTTCCATGGTGACACAATGCACACATTCCCAAACACTGTCATTAAGTCAGTTCTCTCCGGCCAGATTGTGTTCAAATAAAACTTCAATTAAAGTCACAGCTTCAGACAGAGCGGTGCTTCTAGTTAGCGTCCCCAGGCGTATTTTAAAAAGTCTGGATTTCTCACCGTTTGGATACGAGCTCCACCAGCTGAAGTCCTGACACGCGTCCAGGTTGTAGAGTTGTCCGTCGGACAAATTCACTGCAAAAAACATAAAAGTCACTCAGAAAAGTCCAAAGTAAAACATGTGGACAATTCCCGAGTGGGACGTTTTCCGTGTGGGACGTTTTTCGTGTGGGACGTTTTCCGTGTGGGATGTTTTCCGTGTGGGACGTACCTTTGCCGCTGTAGACCTGGTTTGGTTTGGCCTGGATCTCGGTGAAACTGGACTCTGGTCCGGACTTACTGGGGTCTAACAGAAAAGACAGTTCTTCACCACCAAAGTCTAAAACACACAGAGCGACCACACCACAGAGTTAAACACAAACACCACAGAGTTAAACACAAACACCACAGAGTTAAACACAAACACCACAGAGTTAAACACAAACACCACAGAGTTAAACACAAACACCACAGAGTTAAACACCACAGAGTTAAACACCACAGAGTTAAACACCACAGAGTTAAACACCACAGAGTTAAACACAAACACCACAGAGTTAAACACCACAGAGTTAAACACCACAGAGTTAAACACCACAGAGTTAAACACAAACACCACAGAGTTAAACACCAAACACCACAGAGTTAAACACAAACACCACAGAGTTAAACACACAAAACACCACAGAGTTAAACACCACAAGAGTTAAACAGAGTTAAAAGTTAAACACACACAGAACACCACAGAGTTAAAACACAAACACCACAGAGTTAAACACCACACAAACACCACAGAGTTAAACACCACAGAGTTAAACACAACACCACAGTTAAACACACAAAACACAGAGTTAACACACACACCACAGAGTTAAACACAAACACCACAGAGTTAAACACAACACACCACAGAGTTAAACATAAACACACACAAAACACCACAGTTACAACACAGTTAACACCACAGAGTTAAACACAAACACCACAGAGTTAAACACAAACACCACAGAGTTAAATACAAACACCACAGGGTTAGTCCACAACAACACCTGCTCCTGTCTGCTCCTGTCTACACCTGTCTGCTCCTGTCTGCTCCTGTCTGCACCTGTCTGCACCTGTCTGCACCTGTCTGCTCCTCTGTCTCTGCACCTCTGGCTCTGCACCTGTCTGCTCTCCATCTCTGCTCCTGTCAGCTCCTTTAACACTGCACCTGTCTGCTCCTGTCTGCTCATCTGACTTTGCTCCTGTCTGCACCCGTCTGCACCTGTCTGCACCTGTCTGCACCTGTCTGCTCTGCTCCTCTCTGCTCACCTGTCTGCTGCCTGTCTGCTCACCTCTGTCTGCTGCACCTGTCTGCACCTGTCTGCTGTCTGCTGTCTGCTGTCTGCTCCTGTCTGTCTCTGTCTGAGTCTGTCTGTCCTGTCTGCTCGTCTCTCTGTCTGTCTGCCCCCCCCCATCTGCTCCTGTCCGTCCCTGTCAGTCCCTGTCGGCTCGTTTCCTGTCGTGTCCAACAGGAAAAGGTCTGTGTGGCGTTTAGTGTCCATTCAGCACGGGACATTTCAGCGCCGCTCTGTGAATGAGGAGACGAGGAAACGAGGGGGCAGAGGGGAGAGGGGGAGGAGAGGGAGAGCGAGGGAGGAGGAGAAAGAAGAAAAGAGAGAAGAAAGAGGAGTGGAGAGAGAGAAGATGAGGAGGAGGAGAAGAACGGGGTGAAGATGACTGGGGATGAAAAGGAGGAGAGGAAAGGAAAGGGTGAGGAGAGGGAGAGGAAGGAGGAGGAGGAGAAGGAGGAAGGAAGAGAGGAGGAAGGGAGAGAGAGGGAGAGGAGGAGAGCAGAGGAGAGGAAAGAAGAGGGGAGGAGAGGGAGAGGAGGAGGAGAGAGGAGGAGAGGTAGTGCAGGAGGAGAATGGATGGTCAAGAGGAGGAGGAAAAGAGGGGGAGGAGGAGGAGGAGAGGAAAGGCTGGAGCGGGGAGTGGACCGAGCAGCGCTAAATCTGTCCCAAAGGAAGTCTGCAACTCCTGATTACAGACACGCACCAACACCAGACTACAGACCAGACTAAACCAGGACTAAACCAGGACTAAACCAGGACTGAACCAGGACTAAACCAGGACTAAACCAGGACTAAACCAGGACTAAACCAGGACTAAAGCAGGACTAACCAGGACTAAGCAGGACTAAACCAGGACTGAACCAGGACTAAACCAGGACTAAAGGACTAAAGGACTAAACCAGGACTAAACCAGGACAAACCAGGACTAAACCAGGACTAAACCAGGACTAAACCAGGACTAAACCAGGACTAAACCAGGACTAAACCAGACTAAACAAAGACTAAACCAGGACTAAACCAGGACTAAAGACTAAACCAGGACTGAAAGGACTAACCAGGACTAAACCAGGACTAAACCAGGAAAACCAGGACTAAACCAGGACTAAACCAGGACTAAACCAGACTAAACCAGGACTAAACCAGGACTAAACCAGGACTAAACCAGGACTAAGGCAGGACTAAACCAGGACTAAACCAGGACTAAACCAGGACTAAACCAGGACTAAACCAGGACTAAACCAGGACTAAACCAGGACTAAACCAGGACTAAACCAGGACTAAACCAGGACTAAACCAGGACTAAACCAGGACTGAACCAGGACTAAACCAGGACTAAACCAGGACTGAACCAGGACTAAACCAGGACTAAACCAGATCTAAACCAAGACTAAACCAGGACTGAACCAGGACTAAACCAGATCTAAACCAGGATTAAACCAGGACTAAACCAGATCTAAACCAGGATTAAACCAGGACTAAACCAGGACTAAACCAGAACTAAAGCAGAACTAAACCAGGACTAAAGCAGGACTAAAGCAGGACTAAACCAGGACTAAACCAGGACTAAACCAGGACTAAGACTAAACCAGGACTAAAACCAGGACTAAACCAGGACTGGAAAACCAGGACTAAAAGCAGGACTAAACCAGGACTGAACCAGGACTAAACCAGGACTAAACCAGGACTAAAGGACCAAAGGACTAAAGCAGGACTAAACCAGGACTCAAGCAAGACCAAACCAGGACTAAAGCAGGACTAAAGCAGGACCAAACCGGGTTCTAAAGAAGAACTACACCAGGACTGAACCAGGACCAAACCGGGACTAAATCGGGTCTAAACCAGGGACAAATAGAGAACTGTACAGAGTAAATTTGGTTTTAAACCAGGATTAAAATAAAATTAACCCAGGACTAAACCAGGACTAAACCAGGACTAAACCAGGACTAAACCAGGACTAAACCAGTACTAAACCAGGACTAAACCAGGACTAAACCAATCCCAAGCTGGGACAAAACAAGAACTAGGACAGGACCAAACCAGGCACAAAAACTCGACTGTACAGAGTAAATCTGGTCCTAAACCAGAATTTAAATAAGGACTATGGACCAAACCAGGACTAAACCAGGACAAAACAAGGAGTAAAGCAAGACTGAACCAGAACTAAACCAGGACTAAATCTGGACTGGAGCAGACTGTTGGAGGCAGTGACAGTGGGTTTCCTGGTTTGAAGGACAGAGGAAACTCATCTGTCAGAGCTGCTCTTCTCGACACAAACATCTGACCCTGTCCCGGTCCTGTCCCGGTCCTGTCCCGGTCCTGTCCCGGTCCTGTCCTGGTCCTGTCCTGGTCCTGTCCCGGTCCTGTCCCGGTCCTGTCCCGGTCCTGTCCCGGTTCAGCTGTGAGGTGTAGTTCTGGTACAGTCCTCGTTCTGTCCAGTTTTAGTCCTGGTTCAGTCCTGGTTCAGTCCTGGTCTAGTCCTGGTTCAGTCCTGGTTTATGGACTGACCGTAGGCCGTGAAGTCCAGTCCGACAGGGACTTCTTGAGTCCTGTATTCTTCGCTGTAGAATCCACTTTGACAAATCTCCATCTGAAAAAGAATAAAACCAAAATGAACATTCACTTCATCAAACAAGAGGCAAAACACGACCTGGATTATAGGCCAAGTTTAGTCCTGGTTTAGTCCTGTTATAGTCCTGGTTTAGTCCGGGTTTAGTCCTGTTATAGTCCTGGTTTAGTCCTGGTTTAGTCCTGTTATAGTCCTGGTTTAGTCCTGTTATAGTCCTGGTTTAGTCCTGGTTTAGTCCTGTTATAGTCCTGGTTTAGTCCTGTTATAGTCCTGGTTTAGTCCTGGTTTGTGGCTGAAGTTTGTGAGTATTGAACATTCCGCTGTAAAACATTTGGATGATTGGTTTTGTCCTTGTGTAACGTGGACGTGATCTCCTCAGAGCTTCGTCACACTCTTTAGTCTGGTCGGGACTTGGATGTCAGACCTCTGGAAATACACAGCGGAGCAGCAGTGCCAAAACTGTGGTTGTGTCCCTGGGCAAGACACTTGAGCCACACAGTCTGCAGTGGGAGTGTTGAGGCAGGACCAGGTGCTTCAGGATTTGTGGATCTTGTGAACTGAGAACTTTTTGTACAAGGACCTGCTCTCCATCCTCAACTTTACTACTTATACAGTACATGAACCAAAGGAAACCAGGACTAAACCAGGACTAAACCAGGACTAAACCAGGACTAAACCAGGACTTAAATAGAGACCCAATCAGATCTAATCCAGAACTAAATCTGGCCTAAAAAAAAGACTAAACCAGGTCTAAACCAAGACTAAACCAGGTCTAAACCAGGTCTAACTCGGGTCTAAACTGAGACCCATTTAGGTCTAGGACTAAACTGAGACCCATTTAGGTCTAAACCAGGTCTAAATGAGGACAAAATCACGTCTAAACCAGATCTAAACTAGGATTAAACCAAGTCTAAACCAGGTCTAACTCTGGGTCTGAGTTTAGATCTGGTTTAGACCTATCAGGTCTAAACCAGATCTAAATAAGGTCTAAACCAGGATTAAATCAGGTCAGGTAAAAACCAGGTCTAACTCGGGTCTAAACCAGGACTAAACTGAGACCCAATCAGGTCTAAACCAGATCTAAACCAAGACTAAACCAGATCTAAATAAGATCTAAACCAGGATGAAATCAGATCTAAATCATGTATAAATCAGGTCTAACTTGGGTCTAAACCAGGTCTAAACACAGAGCACATGAGGCCTGAGTACTCAGGTCTGTATGAGCGAGTACTGAAATTATAATTTAACTGCAACAAATATGTCCATAATTTACAGATGTAGCGGAGTATCAATAAACTGTACTCAAGTAACATTACTCTAAAATAATATTACTCAAAGTACAAAGTATTTGTCCATGAAATGACTCAAGTAAGAATAAAAAGTATTTGAGGAAAGCACTACTGAGGTAAAAGTAACTTAAAGACGTGTCAGTATGAAACATGTGAAGGACAAAACATGAAATACTGCACAACATCTGGTGTTTTCAAAGAACAGACACAAAAATAGAGAATAAAATAAGAGTAAACGTATGCAGGTCGAAAATTACTCTAAAAAGTACAGTTTCTTAGTAAATGTGAGTACTCTGTCTTTTTAGTTGAAGTTCATGTTTGGTGTTGGTGTGATCCAGTGGTATTTTGGCCTCACCTTTCTCTTGCTGTCTCCGGGTTTGAGGGCCGTGTCCCAGTACATGTCCTGCGTAAACTCCGCGCGCAAACTGGAGACTTCACACTGTCGCCGTCCCCGCGTCCGGACTGGGATTATATACGGCCCGACGGGATCGCGCAGGAGGGACGGGAGCGCGCCTGACCACTGTGCGTCGTGACCCTCTCCTCCGCGCGCCACTCCCGTCTCCTCACGAGCCCCAAGTGTCCAGCGCGTCCCACAAGTCCATTCATTAAAGTCCAAAGAGAGAAGCAGACCACGAGAAAACTTGAAATAACAAAAGTAAAACATAAACCAGCCTCAAAGGGTTCGTATAGTTTCTGATCTCTTTTCTAAAGTTGTTTCCTGATCACAAACACACCTGGAGTTGTGTTTTGTTTCATTCACACATGTTTAACACACAAACCCTGCATATTTTGGATAAACTCTTCTCTCAAACGGAAAACGCACCGTTCCACTTTGTGTTTTTAAACTCCAAACCCCAAACAGTCTGGACGAAACATTAAAAGGCTCTAAAACAATTTACACATTTAAAAACACACATATTTATAAGATTTATGCGACCAGAATTCTAGAGAAATACAGAGAAATACAATAAATCATTTTACCTCATGGAATTTACAGATTAACGAAAAAATAAAAAAAAAAGTGTGTGTATTTATAAACCAATACGTATGAATACTAACATGTACATGGTCAGTGTGTGTGTCTGTGTGTGTGTGTGTCTGTGTGTGTGTGTGTCTGTGTGTGTATGTGTGTATGTGTGTGTTTGTAGACCAAAATAATGAAGTATTTACTCTTTCCTGATAAGTTTTGTGTTGTTTTCTGTCAAAAGTTCTGCGTCTTGTCTCCTGTTCTGTATGTCAACAGGGTTTGGCAAAACTTCAGAACTTTGGCAAAAACCACTTCGGTCTGTAGAAGAAGTTTATGTATGATTCAGTTTGTAGAATATGATGTATGATTATGTTAACTGACCGAAGAAAATAAACTAACTAAAAATTCTGGATCATTTCAGCCCTGGGATTGCCAATCTCTGCTGAACTAACTTGAAATCTACCACGACATGAAATGTGTGAATGACACAGAACACAAGTCCAGGTCTGTTTGTGATGAAGTTACAACATTAGAACAAGTTTAAAAATTCGTAAATAACGGGATTTTCATTGTGACCATTCCATGTGTAAAATGTCACTCGGAGATAAATAAATGTGTATTAAACGACACATTTAAAAAGAATTCACTACAAAAATATACATGTATACTCAAGGCCTGTGATTTGAAACCTTCGTTGTTTTTTTAACAGGCACAAAAACACTTTTACGCATGAGCGCGGATTGTTTTCTCACTGTAGTTTTATTGAGTGTTTGGATTCACTTATCTGCGGTTGAGCTTCTTACAGTCATAAATACAACACTTCACACCACCACGCGACTTTACGATGGCATGGTAAAAACCTGTTCACTTAAAAGTTTAAAAAGTAAAAAAAACAACAACAACCAACCAAACAAAAAAAAACAAAAAAAAAAACATAAAGGTTTCGAAGAGGTGGTAGTCAAAGGAGGACAAGACCAGAGGGAACGTTATGAATTAGGCTAAATTAAAAATAAAGCACGACCTATAGATCTACTTTTACGCACAGACAGGCGCAGTGTCCAAATGCCTGGTTCCAACTTGTTTAAAACTGTGCGTAAAACCTCCCCAAACAAACAAACAAACAAACAAACATAAAGGTTTCGAAGAGGTTGTGGATAAAGAGTTAAGAAGTTGGTTTGACAAACACATCAAAAATAAAACACGACTTATAGATTTAATTTTACGCACAGACAGGCGCAGTGTCCAAACGCCTGGTTCCATTTTATTTAAAGCCGTGCGTAAAACCTCCCCAATCTACAAAACATAAAGGTTTCGAAGAGGTTGTGGTCAAAGGAGGACAAGACCAGAGTTAAGAAGTTGGTTTGACAAACACATTAAAAATAAAACACGGCCTATAGATTTATTTTTACGCACAGACATGCGCAGTGTCCAAATGCCGGTTCCGTCTAGTTGAAAGTCATGCGTAAAACCTCCCCAAACAAAACAAAAAAAAACAAAACCAAAAAAACAACAAAAAACATAATGGTATCGAAGAGGTTGTGGTCAAAGGAGGACAAGACCAGAGGGGACGTTAAGAAGTTGGTTTGACTAACACATTAAAAATAAAACACGGCCTATAGATTTATTTTTACGCACAGACAGGTGCACTGTCCAAATGCCTGGTTCCATTTTGTTTAAAGTCATGCATAAAACCTCCCCAAAACAAAAAAACAAAACAAAACATAAAGGTATAGAAGAGGCTGTGGTCAAAGGAGGACAAGACCAGAGTTAAGAAGTTGGTTTGACAAAAAACAAAAAAACAAAGAAAAAACACGAACTATAGATCTACTTTTACGCACAGTGTCAAAATGGCTGGTTCCATTTTGTTTGAAGTCGTGCGTAAAACCTCCCCAATCTTGTGGTCAAAGGAGGACAAGACCAAAGTTAAGAAGTTGGTTTGACAAACACATTTTTAAAAAAAAAACAACAACAACAACAACACGAACTATAGATCTACTTTTACGCACAGTGTCCAGATGTCTGGTTCCATTTTGTTTAAAGTCGTGCGTAAAACTTCCCCATTCCCCGCTCCTCCGTGATCCCTCCGCCTCTTCCCTGGCCCTCTCCTCCTCCCCTCCTCCTCCCCTCCTCCTCCTCCTCTCGTTAATCACCGCGCTCTGTAACTCGACTCCAGCTGTGCGCCAATCACGACTCCGCGGTTCCCAGATGCGCTGTTTGTTTAGACAAGGCCGGGGCTTATCTCGGGCGGCCAGTCGTGCAGTGATTGTGCGCACTGAGTCTCGGCTCGTGTTTTTACTGCGGGGCCATTGTTTTAGCGAGTGCGCGCTAAAGATACGGCGGCTCAAGTTCGGTCATTAAGAGCGGTCCGTCGCCCCGCCCACCGCCGCCCGCTGCCCATTCACTACAACTCTAATGGAGTTCTGATGGAGAGAGGGGAGAGTGTTAACCCACCAGTGTCAAACTATAAAAGCTGGACAGGGTTGGACCAAGACTTAAACAGACTCAAGACGAGACGCTCCAATGAACAAAACTAAAAACTACTTCTTCTGTAGTTTACTGACATAAAAAAAGATATTTTATGTGTAAAAATTGCCAAAGCTGTACATATTTGGGTCATAAAAATCTGAAAAATGGATTAGTATTTTAAAGAGGGATCACGTCTATTTTGAAATAAGGTTCCATTTAACTGGAATCACTGAAGTCACTGGACCATGTCGGTGTTTCTCTGTCATATGATGAGAATAAACTGATCAAAACAGAAAAAAAGACTAATCCAGGACTAACCCAGGACTTCAATAAGAAAGAAATCCAAAGTAAAAAAAACAAAACAAACATGCATACAATATAAAAATATAGAAATGGACTAACCGAGGTCTAAACTTGAAACTCGAACTGGATCTGAGTAATTAAAACTTCTAAACCAGGACTAAACCAGGACTAAACCAGGTCTAAACCAGGTCTAAACCAGGACTAAACCAGGACTGAACTAGGGCTAAACCAGGACTGGACCAGGATTAAACCAGGACTAAATCAGGACTAAACAAGGACTAAATCAGATCTAAACCAAGACAAAACCAGGACTAAACCAGGACTAAACTAGGGCTAAACCAGGACTGGACCAGGACTAAACCAGGACTAAATTAGGACTAAACCAGGACTAAACTAGGGCTAAACCAGGACTGGACCAGGAAAAAAACAGGACTAAATGAGGACTAAACCAGGTTTAAACCAGGACTAAACTAGGGCTAAACCAGGACTGGACCAGGACTAAACCAGGACTAAATCAGGACTAAACAAGGACTAAATCAGGATTAAACCAAGACAAAACCAGGACTAAACCAGGACTAAACTAGGGCTAAACCAGGACTGGACTAGGACTAAACCAGGACTAAATTAGGACTAAACCAGGACTAAACCAGGATTAAACCAAGACAAAACCAGGACTAAACCAGGACTAAACCAGGACTAAACTAGGGCTAAACCAGGACTGGACCAGGAAAAAACAGGACTAAACCAGGACTAATCCAGGACTAAATCAGGGCTAAACCATGCTCTTGCAGAGTAACAGTGGGAAATACAGAGAGTCATGGGATATGAGCCAGAAAGTCACCTTCATGATTCCATGGCAACAGAAAGTTAAAACCATACTGCGGAACATTCTCCCTACACATTTTACGACATACTGTGCAAGATTACAGTTAAAGGAAAAGCATTTCCACGGAAACAAACAGAAGACCCTCCTCCCGGTCAAGTAAGAGTCAGGTTTGTGGAGATGCGAGCCCGCTCACAGTAAGGACACGTGTTTTTTCTGTGTGTTTCAGTTCAATAAAACATCCAGACTGAAAAAAAAAAGACGCACTACGGCTTTAAAAATAACAGTTGTGTATGATTGGCTGATCTGAGGAGGTTTATCTGAGTTTACAGCAGCTCTGATCTGATAAGACTCTGCAGCTTCTGGGCCCACTATGTCCTGATGTGTTCTGTGTGGTTTCCTGGAGTTGTGTTTTGTTTCATTCACACATGTTTAACGCACAAACCCGCTTCATGACACGCCCTAAAGCTCACAAGAGGACACTTTGAACGCCGAGCTGGAGACAGGTGAGAGCGTCAGGTGGAGTTTGCTGTGGAAGTGTCAGGTGCAGATGTGCTGAGCCGGTTTATGGTTCACGTGTCTAGAATTTCAACTCAGCGTCTTCTCTGTGGTGGAAGGGGAGTCATTCAAAAACACTGACGCAAGAACAGTTTGTGTGAGTTTGTGTGAGTTTGTGTGAGTTTGTGTGAGGAGACAAATGTCACACGATAAACATGACCAAGTTATGGACTAAGAGGACAGACCTGAGAATTGGATGAGTTAGATCAGACCTGGACGTTGCACTTGAAAAACAGCCCTGAAAAAAAATAAAAAAAAAAAAATAAAATAAATAAATAAATAAATAAAAAAAAACTTGGAAAACAACTGAATAAAAAAAAAAAAAAAAACATAAATAAATAAAATAATCAAATAATAAATGAAAAAAATAAAAAATAAAAAACATAATTAAAAAATAAAATAAAATAAAATAAAATAATGGTAAGTTAAAATGGCTTAAATTAAACACTTTATTTGAGTCAATTCAACTTGACAAGTCAATAAATCTACCAGTGGAATAAATGTGTCTTTTCTTAATTCAAGCAACATTTGATTTTGTTTCTTATTTTAACTGAAAAAAAAGTTTTTAGTTTTTCCAGGACTAAACCAGGACTAAAACTAAACCAGGACAAAACCAGAACTAAACCAGGACTAAACCAGAACTAAACCAGGACTAAAACTAAACCAGCACCAAACCAGGACTAAACCATTGCTAAACCAGGACTAAAAATAAACCAGGACTAAACCAGGACTGAACCAAGAGTTGGATTTTGAACATTTGACTTCATTTGAGCTTCAACTTGACAAGTAAAATGATCCACAAAGTGTGTTTTTCTTCATTCAAGCAACATTCAATTTTGTTTCATATTTTAAGAGCAAAAAGTTGTTATTTTTCTTATTTTCAGTGCAGCAAGAAGTATTTTCATATTTTAAGTACTAAAAGTCTTGTTCCATTAGCAGATCATTTTACTCGTCATGTGAAATTTACTCAAATCATGATAAAACTTTCTTAATTCCAGTCATCTGAACGTGACTAGATTTTATTTTTTACAGTGAGTACATCTTCTGAGTTACATACAGTCATTTGTCTAACTCTGACCAACCTGTTTAAACTCATTTGGAATCACAAATTAAACGTATTTTATAATTTGACCTCATGCATGAACTAAAACTGTGTTGCTTTTATTTAAGAGGGTTTTTTTTTAAATGTCATTTTTTGTTCGGCAGTTTCACTTTTTCATTGTTTAGTCAGAACATAAACTCTGATCAGTCTGAGCAGCTCGTCCAAACAATATTTTCTGCTTTTTATAAAGAAATGCAAGTAATATTATGCAGGATTGATCATTACATGTAGAATAGATTTATTTCCAGAACTGTGTGAGTAAATGAGCGTCTTATCTTCATATTCTGGTTCAGTAAAGTGATAAAAACATTCATACACAGTTAGTTCTTTGTCATCTGATCCACTACAGTCATTATTGTTTAGAAGTTGGATCAGGAGGAGAAATCAGACTACAGACTTCACACAGACTTAGCGCCCCCCCAAGGTTTGTGAGGGAACTACACGTGTTACAGACCCGAGGCCCAAGACTCGCACTGACTCTGCTCATGTTTGTTCGAGGGTGAAGTACAGTTCTGTCGAAACGTTACGGCATTTAAAGAAAACACTGCACATCTATTTGTACATAAATATATTTAAAATGTTGCATTTAGTGTTTAGGGAGTCTTCCTGGAATCTGGAATGAACTTGAACTAGAATTATATTATGCGTCTGGTTCTAACGTAAGCACATTTTAGACCAGGAAAAAAATAGGCAATGACAAATAGGAATGTGCAAAAATATCAACATATCGATATATCGTATCGTTTAAAGTGATGTTACAGTATCTATATCGTGGGCTGCTGTATTGACATGTTGCCAAGTGTATTTTTATACTTATATATTTCACTAAATTATTTTGTTACAGTCTACAGTCTATTTTGCTACAGTTTTGTTGTTTGTTTAGAGCAAGAGTGTCAAACTCAAATCCACAGAGGGACAAAATTAAAAACTGGGACTAAGTCTTGGGCCAAACTAAATATTTATTGAAGATTTTCAACAACATCTGCATGTTTTCTCTTCTTTAGAGATCTGTAGTGTTAAACCTTTTCTTATTCAAATACATGTTTAAATAATAGTTTTGCTTAAACACTGAATCCAGAACAGAATATAAAATAATAATAACATTTTAAATAAAAAATGTCTCTTTAATCTCTCTGTGTGTGGCGAGCAGATCTAATACAGATTTGATATGATCTCACGGGCCAAATATAATTATATTGTGGTCCAAATTTGGCCCCCGGGCCTGAGTTTGACATGTCTGGTTTAGAGGAAGGAAACTCGTTGACAATTTTACTGTTTTGAGGATTAAAATACATCAAAGCCATGATTTAGCTTTTATTTTTTATTGAACTGTATCAAATCGATTTGGAATATATCGTATCAAATTGCACTGTATGTATCGTATCTGCAACTTAATGATCCCAGCTCTAATGACACATGATCAAACAACCCATCCAACAAGGCTCTTGTGCCAATTATAAAAGACATTCTAAAATGAAAAGATCAGATCTTTTTTTTTTTTTAACATGTCAATATTTTTAAGAAGACATAACAAAGATAATATTATTTAGTCTTTAGACTTGGCAACAAAAACAGACTTTGCTGTTTAAACTTTACTCTAATTTTCATTCTCCAGTTTACTCAGATCAAGTACAGTTCTAAAAAATAAAATAATAAAGAGAGTTTAAATAGTAGATTTCTTGTGTTTGGAGCGTGATTGTGAGCGCAGATTTGGAGCTGCACTTTTACACTTTCTAGTAAGAGTCCCCAGTTCGCCTGTGAGGCCGGGGCGAGTGTGTCACACCCGGAGAGAGAGAGAGAGAGAGTATCCGGTGCGGACTGCGCGCTCTATGCCACAAAGTGCAATACTCTGCGCCACGGCGGCTCCCTCTGCGTCACAGCCCGGGCCTCTCCAAACCAAACCAAAACGCTGCGTAAAAGTTCACCAAGTCTTCTCCAAAAGCGACTAAATGCGCACAGCTCGCCGCGATGGACTGCACCATAAAGGTAAGGCCGTGTGAGTGCGTGAGCCCGCTCTGTGTATGTATGTGTGTGTGCGCGCGTGCGTGGGCCGTGCGCGCTCCCCACTCTTTCCTTCTTGTACAAAATTTCCCCTTCCTTCCCGTTCGTGGTGTATGTGGCTCTATAATAACACAACTAACCGCTTCATCTTTACACTCGCTTTTTTACTTCTTTAAGGCGCGTTTCGGGACGTGCTGCAGCAGCGGCCTTTTCTCTTTTCACTTCAAACTCTCTCGTTTTTACCCCGCGGGGCCTTGAACTCGCCACGGCCTGAGCAAACATCACAAACATCACGTATCGCAGCGCTGTTTCTTCTCCGTGTTTTGGATTGTAAAATGAGCCGTTCTGAAGGATGCTCTTGAATGCACCTGTCCGTAAACGCACCCCGGGAGCGCGCCACGAGCCACGGACTGACAGCGTGATCCACTGCAGGTAAACGGGGCTGGGTTTGTGAAGAAAACGTGAACGTGCTTGTAAAAAACACTGTAAATTCTCTGTAAAGTTATTTTTAAAAACGCTAAAAAACAGAGGCGTGTCACCGAAGCAAAAGGAGAAAACACAACAGCCTTTTATTACGTTCCACCAGCATATTTATTATTGTTGTACATTTCAAATCAAAATGGCGGGTGTTCTTGCTTTTAAACTCGCTGTTCAAATATATTTACCCTTAATTGTTTTGTGCCGAACAGGCTTTTACGCACGCAGGCCTCGTTCGCTCATTTATCGCTTTTTCTTTTTTACGCACTTCTAAACTCTTGTTGTTCTTTGCGTAATAATAATGACAAACATGTTACCTAACGGAACTAGTGTCTGTTTTTTGCTGTTTCAAACCTTCTTGCAAAATATTTCACATGCAACGCGCCAGGGCCTTGTTTTTTTGCGGAACTAGACGTTTTAAGTTCACATTTGCGTGGCGCGGACGTGTGTTTTGTCTCTTTTTACATGTTGGTGAGTAGTTTTTTTGGGGGGGCGAGCGGCGCGCTGCAGGAGCACACACTGTTCGCTGCGATGTCTCTGCGGTCCGTGGTTATTTTGAGCGTAAAAAAAGTTGCAGCTCGTCAGGTGTCGTTTATCGAAGCGCAACAGACTTCCGGTTTGAGACCGTGGCGCGTTTCCGCAGCCGCAAAAGCAGCGCACGAGAGGATCACGAACGCGCGGGGTGGTCCAGGGGAGAGGGCGCGAGGGGTCCAGGGTGCCAGGGGTCCAGGGGAGAGGGCGCGTAAAAGGCCCGTGTAAACCTGGGAGTATCGGCAGAGTATTTATTACTTCTAAAGAATCTAGTAAAAGTAGAAGCACAAAGTTGTAGTCCAAAAAATTACCCAAGTAACTTAAAGAGTAACTGTAATATCTGATTTATAATTCGAAGTGGACATAAAGCGAAGGACAAAACATAAAATAAGTCACAAAAACGACAAACACGAAAATGAGTCAAACAAAACCAAATCTGAAGCAGCTGCAACAAACACAAATGTTCAAATCATTTCATATTGTCACATAAAACTTTTGTTATTTTAAACTTACTTGCAGTGTTTATTCAGTCAAAATATTACTCAAGTAGGAGTAAAAGTATGCTGCTTGACAAGTACTTTAAAAAGTACAATTTGAGAGTGAGATCTTTGTTGATTTTGTGTTCCAGCGTGTACTGTGTTTCAGGGCTGTGGGAGGTTATTTCTCTCTGTGCGATACTTGGGACAGGATATCGGTTATCGGCAGAATCAGTGATTAAAGAGTGAGACATGATAATACTGGTAGTACTTGTATGTTTTGCTGCTCCAGACTGTTTGGAGCAGTGTGTTTCAGGGCTGTAGCAGCAGCTGTTTGGGGTGTAACGGTACAAAAATCACGGTTCGGTACATACTTGGGTTTTGAGGTCACGGTTCGGTTCATTTTCGGTACAGTTTGAAAACAAAATGTAAAACCATTTACTTGTTGTTTATTTGTGTTTTTATTAAACCAACAATTTTTTTTCACATTATACAAAGGGGAAATAAAATCAATGCAAAGTTCTGCTTGGTAATAATAATGAGTGAAATAAAATATTCTCAAATAAGCAACAAATGTATGAAATGGAAACTGTAAACAAAACGTTTCAAAAAGTAACGTGCAGCACTGACAGTTCCAGCATGAAGCATTACGCAATCTTTATATTTTTGGCCTGGAAAAAAAAACAAAAACCTGTGTCTGCAGTAAGAGCAGATCTGCTGCAGGTACAGTGTCAGTGGGGGGTAGGTTTGTGCCGATGAAGGTGAAAGAGAGGAAAAGGGCACGACCACTGTACTTTTGCGAGGATTCACGTGGAAACAGTCACCCCAAACATGGACGAGTTCCTTGTGAATATTAAAGATGTAGTGGCCGAACCACACACACACACAAAGTTTGCGAACTCACTCGTGCACAGCCCTGCACCGAACCGAACCTGTAACGAAACAGTTACACAAATACATACACCTGCACAAATACATGTAGTAGTAGTAGTAGTAGTAGCAGCTATAGTGCACTTTCTGTTATTCCAGTCTCTCTGTGCAATACTACAGATGGTATATTGGTTATCAGCAGTATCGGTGATATCGGGGGATTTGCACAGATATCATAAAAAACACGATAATGCTGTTTCACTAGTGTTTGTTGCTAGTTTTGGGGCACTGTGTTTCATTACTGTAGGTTATTTTACTGTCTGTCTGTGCGATACTTGGGACAGATATTGTTTATTGGCAGTATCGGTGATCAAACAGTGAGATCTACACAGAAAACATGATAATACTGGTACACTTGTATGTTTTGCTGCTGAGAAATCCAGACTGTTTGGGAGGACTGTGTTTCAGGGCTGCAGGAGCTTTGCACTTTTTGTTATTCCAGTCTCTGTGTGCGATCTGTTATCGGCAGAATCTATGATAAAAGAGTAGAAAACATGATAATACTGGTATACTTGACTGTTTTGAAGTACTGTGTTTTACAGCTGTAGTAGTAGTAGTAGTAGTGGTAGTAGTAGTAGTAGTAGCTGTAGTGCTTGTTACTCAAGTCTCTCTGCATGATACTTGGGACGGAACATCGGTTATCGGCAGTATCGGTGATAAAAGAGTGAGATCTTCATAGAAAACATGATAATACTGGTACACTTGACTGTTTTGATGCTATAAGAAATCCAGACTGTTTTGAGGTACTGTAGAAGAAGAAGTAGTAGTAGTAGTAGTAGTAGTAGTAGTAGTCATAGCAGCTGTAGTGCACTTTTTATTATACAAGTCTCTCTGTGCGATACTAAGGACGGAATATCGGGTATCGGTGATAAAAGAGTGAGATCTGCACAAAAAAACCATGATAATACTGGTACGCTGTATGTTTTGTTGCAATGAAATCCAGACTGTTTGCAGACTTGAACAGTGCAAAAAAATAAATAAAATAAAATAAAATAAATGAATAAAACTTGGTTCTAAATTTCGGCTAAATGTTCAATATCACACTGAGACTGATATCTGTACAAATCCCCGATATCACCGATACTGCCGATACTTACTGATATCCCACCCCAAGTATCGCACAGAAAGACTAGAATAACAAGAAGTGCACTATGGCTACTACTACTACTACTACTACTGCTACTACTACTACTACTACTACTACTACTACTACTACTACTACTAATACTACTAATACTGCTGCTACTACCACTACTACTAATACTAATACTGCTACTACTACTACTGCTACTACTACTAATACTACTACTACTGCTACTACTACTACTAATACTAATACTGCTACTACTACTACTACTACTACTACTACTACTAATACTAATACTGCTACTACTACTACTAATACTACTACTACTACTACTACTACTACTACTACTGCTACTACTACTACTAATACTACTAATACTGCTGCTACTACTACTACTACTAATACTAATACTGCTACTACTACTAATACTAATACTGCTACTACTACTAATACTACTACTACTACTACTACTACTACTACTACTACTACTACTGCTACTACTACTACTACTACTACTAACACTGGTACTACTACTACTACTACTACTACTACTTCTACTGCTACTAATACTGCTGCTACTACTACTACTACTACTAATACTAATACTAATACTGCTACTACTACTACTGCTGCTACTACTACTACTACTACTACTACTACTACTACTACTACTAATACTGCTACTAATACTGCTGCTACTACTACTACTACTAATACTAATACTGCTACTACTACTACTACTACTACTACTACTACTACTACTACTACTACTACTACTACTAATACTACTAATACTGCTGCTACTACTACTACTACTAATACTAATACTGCTACTACTACTAATACTAATACTGCTACTACTACTAATACTACTACTACTACTACTACTGCTACTACTACTACTACTGCTACTACTACTACTACTACTACTAACACTGGTACTACTACTACTACTACTACTACTACTTCTACTGCTACTAATACTGCTGCTACTACTACTACTACTACTAATACTAATACTAATACTGCTACTACTACTACTGCTGCTGCTACTACTACTACTACTACTACTACTACTACTACTACTACTACTACTACTACTAATACTGCTACTAATACTGCTGCTACTACTACTACTACTACTACTACTACTAATTTCCACCCAATTTCCACGAGACGAGATACGAGATCACGTCCATGAGAACGAGACAAGAAGAGATGTTAGTTTTCATTTCTGATATACACGTTTCACAATTTTCATATTTTTGTTTCCATTTTAGTGCTGCTTTCTGGAACTGTAAGAGATGTAACCAACCTGTGACCGTTTGTGGTCGTACTGTAAGATAAACACTTTGAAAAAAATCTCACGCTTGCAGTTTTATCTCATGAGATCTTGAGGCACGAGATCTTGTCCCAATAATAAAATAGTGATAAAAGTGAAAATTATACGGTGTTTTTCTCCACAGTTTGAGCAGCTTGCTCCGAATACTGAACAGAACAAATCCAGTGTTGAAATTGAAATTCTATTCAGCAAATTTAACAAAATTGCAAGAATATTAAAAATAAAACTGCAGGAATAACATATGAAACTGTAGACTTACTCCAGCTTTTTATGAATGAGATTTTGTGTTTATTTAGCAGTTTAGTTTTCTCTCAAATATGGTTTAAAATGCCGTCTGTGGACTTAATTGTGAAAAAAAATTTAAATTAAATATTAGCTTTGAATGTTTTGAATGGTGAAAAGTCCCCACAATGTCGCCTCTAAACAGGAAGCTGAAGCCCAGATGAGAACAGGCTGTGTGGTGGTGCAAGCCTCTGTGGAGTCGTATAAACAAACAGTTGGCAGTTCGATTTGCAGATTACACCAGTGCATTGTGTCGTTGAGCAAGACGTCTCAGGCAACCCGTGTTATCAGCTGTACAAGTGTGGAG